TCATTTTACTTGTCAAGTGAAATTTACTCAAATCATGATAAAATTATCTTAATTCAAGCAATCATAACTTGGCTAGATTTTCATTTCTGCAGTGCACCCACAGTCAAAAGTCAGAACACAGGTTTTTAAAGGTATTTTTGAGCAATGAAAACACACATAATTGAATAAAAGCATCTTATATAAGTTTAATATTATATTGCAGAACAGAATCTCCATGGTAGCGAACCCCCAACCTGAACATTTACACAGTGCACTTCTAAACATTGAGCTTTGTGTGTCGACGGGCTGTGGAGGAAGCTAAAGTAAAAGTTAAAAAAGTTAAAGTTAAAAAGCTTGTGGACCTGTCTGACTGAACTAGGTTAAAAGGTCTTATGAATATTTAATTTGGTGGGATAGAACCTGTGATAAATATTGATCATAGTTTTATATCAGTGAAGTGGCAGTTTGTGGAGAAAAAGTTGAAAACAAATTAAAGGAATCTTTATCCTAATGGTGGTTTTGTGGAAGATAATTTGTTTCATTTGATTTTGAATTTTGAATACCCCTGAATTTCTCACTTACATTTTTTAACTCTGAAAAAAATATGTTTAAATTAATTTCATTCTGAATTTTAGTTGCTGAAATTTTAAGTGTAGTTTCAAGCCCCCAAATTCAACAGTCAAAATACAGAGTGTAAAATTCGCAGTGAAAAAGTTTGCAGCGTAGATCCAAGATGCCAAGGCAGAAGCAATCGATCATGTGTGAGTGAGGAGGACAGAGGCTGTTTCCTATTGGCCGTTCTCATGTGTGGGCGGAGTTTACACTTAAGAAATCAAAGAGATGAGCGGTGCATCTGAAAATGGTTAAATACTCTTAGAAGTTCCTTTCCTTAACATTTACCGTCATGACAAGGACTGTCCAAACTGAACAGTCAAGTTAAGAAGGAGTAAGGAAAGGAGACATTATGTATTTAATGATTTAATTTAATGAAATTTAATTTAATTTCACTGCAAATTTTACACTCTGAATTTTGATTGTTGAATTTGACTTTTGGCTTGAAAATATTTGTGCTGCATATTTATGAATATTTAAATTTATATATATAATTTTTTTTAATTTACTGTATATACTGAATTTTAAACACTTTGAAAATGTACACAAAATAAAAATAATTCAAACATGTTTTTTCATTCATTTTATCTTCTGTATTAAATATTATTGAACTATAGAAACCAGCAATATCAAAACAATATCACACATACCACTGCATCCCCAAAACAGGAACAATTTCCTGTCAGTTTTAACATTCATTTAAAGGCACAGTCTGGAACCTTCTGGAGATGGCATATGATCTGCATGACTCCATGGAAACAGAAAGTTAAAACCAGACTTCAGAATATTCTCCCTGGAATAGTTCTACGTTTTATAGCAGACTGTGAAACAACATTTCCATGGAGAGAAGTAGGTTCTACTCCAGGTCAGATAAGTCAGGTTTGTGGAGAGGCAAGTCTGCTTACAGTAAGGATACATGTTTTTAGAGTGCAACACATATAACCAAAGTGAGAAGACATGGCTAAAAATTACACACTATGGCTTTAAATAAAGGTGTTTTATTTATATGTAAAATGATTATGGCAAAATGTAAACTTGGGAAATGTTTTGAGTTGAAAAATGCAGATGAATGATCGCGGTAGTTGGAAAAACAACTCAAGTCAACATCTGTTACCTGCCTCCAGGTTAAGGTATACTATTGCTTTATTGTCTTCTTCATTTGACCCATACTTCAGTGTGACTGGGACGCCTCATCAGGAGCCGTGAGCACCACAGCGCGCTGCACTGGGACTCATCTCTGTCATCTCTTTGCTAGTCTTGGACAGGACTCCCTTAGCTGGAGGATTTCATCTATTTTTGATTGATGGGGGAAACTGGAGTGTCTGGAGAAAACCCACCCAGACATGGGCGAGCTCCAAACTCCACACTGCACAATCCAGGAATCCATCCCGGAACCTTCTTGCTGTGAGGCGAGAGTGCTTTTAGTCTTCACTGTACGGCACACACCATTTGTCTACAACATCTGAGTTCTTTGACTGAACGTTTACTGCACTTTTCACTGGGGGTTTAGGCTGCATTTACACATCGCTGGGTATGTTAAGAAATAAAGATTTTCCTTCCTCCGTTTTACAAAATAACATCGTGCAGCATCGTTTTCAAAAAAGTTTTCATTTACATCAACCCACATAAATACACCATCGAGCGCCGTCATAACTACACCAAACCTCTGGGCAGCACCTGGATTAGATTCAAACCTGTAGCATTTATTTCATTACAGTTGTAAATATTACTCAAAAATACCTTGAAAAACGTGCATTACTGAACAGGCTCGCCTCTCCACAGATCTGTTAAAGAAGTGACAAAATGACTGATCTCCGAGCCTCATTGCACTTACAATGTCCTTTGCCACATTCTTGGTCTGCACTGAATTCATCATTGTCCCAAGTCCTGCACTGATGTCCCATATCTGTATGATCTTCTTCTTCTCGTCCACCATTCATGGATATGAAACATCAGCTGTGTGTGCAAATGCAAACACATGAAAAGTGTTTGCACCAGAAGAAATGCGACTGCTGCTCTGATGCTTCATCATCATCAGAGTAAAAGGGAAACACTGGTCGCACTTTTGTCACATCAGCTTAAACTCTGTTTGTTTATCTCACTTTACATGCAAACACGTTTTGGTGCAAGCTACATGAAGAAATAACTGTTCTAAGTATGTTTAAATCTTAGTTCTTTAAATGAAGTTTTGTGAAGGCATTTTAAAGTAGCATATTCACAATTTGATAGCCTCCACAAAATATCGCAATGAATATCGTACCGTGAGATGTATATCGTGAAAATATCGTACTGTGAGATTTGGATATCGTTACATCCATACAAGCAGTGTTGGGGAGTAACAGATTACATGTACAGAAGTTACGTAATCAGAGTAGAAATTATGAGTAACTGTATTCAGTTAGAGTTACTGTTTCCATGAGTGGTAATTGGATTACAGTTACTTGGTTGAAATAAATGGATTACACAGAGGTATTTTCCTGTTTTCACATTTTGGGCGATTCCCTTTTTTCTGTAATTCCACTCATTGCCGGACACTAAACCAGGTCTAAACCAGGTCCAAACCAGGTCCAAATCAGGTCTAAACCAGGTCTAAACCAGGTCCAAACCAGGTCTAAACCAGGTCCAAACCAGGTCTAAACCAGATCTAAACCAGGTCTAAACCGGGACTAAACTAAGACTAAACCACATCTAAACCAGGACTAAAACCAGGTCTAAACTATGTCTCAAACAGGATTTAACAGGACTAAATCATGCCGTGCAGACTGTGTCTCCTCCTCTTCTATCAATAATATTTTTAATTTGGTTCAGTAAAGTCTGGGCTTTTTATTTTCTTTTAGCAGACAAAACATCTTATGTTAAGATTTCCTAGTCTTTGCTACTTTACAGCAATTCAAGTAATCCAAAGTATTCAGATTACATTACTCACTTTAAGTAATTTAATGGATTACGTTACAAACTACATTTTGGGGTATGTAATCTGTAATCTGTAGGGGAATACATTTTAAAAGTAACCTTCCCAACACTGCATACAAGATGTCCTTATTTAGCCGGGACAGTCCCAGTTGGAACCCTGTGTCCCCTGTCCCAGCAGATTTATCCAAAACCACTGATTTGTCTCATTTTATACAAGACATGTCTCTGTTGTCCCTATTTTGGAGCAAATTTGATCCCTGCCAAAAGTAAAAAGAGGCATACATTGGCATTTGTTGAGGTAAAATACAGAAAAGCTGCTTCAAAATCACCAAAGCACACAAAAAAAAAGACTGTGACTATACTGACTCATCATGAATGGGTCGAGTGCAAAAAATTTTTCCTTAATTACGGACTCGTTTCACAATTTTATTATTACTAACCAACCCAAAGCGAGTGTCCCAGTTTTTGATTTTGAAACTCTGGTCACCCTACATGAACACCAAACCCCAGCTGACTCACCTGACGTTACGCCGAGTGTCAAACCAGATCATTTATTTCATTTTTTTATTCCATTTAGCTCTTTACAGAAGACCACTCCAGGCTCCACAGTTTGTGCTTAAAAATCCAAGCTCTGTTTAATGAATTGCATTTTTTATATATATTTATATTTATATATTATTCCTACAAATACATGGTTTTCAGCACTTTGAAAAAACGTCCACTTTCTTCAGTAAAACCAAGAAAGCTAGAAATATCCTACAGTGAAAAAAGGACAGACAAAAAAAAGAAAAAGTCACAACAAAAGACGTAAAAAAATCATGAAAAAATAAAAATTAAAAACAACATCCTGTACAAACACTATGGCCCAATAATTTAAGAAAATAGTGTCTCTAAAACGTCCGTATTGCTTAGTGCGTCCAGGGAGCCGCACGGGCAGGTCAGGTCCAGAGGCGCTGGGTCCATGCGCTCTGGGTTTGGCAGTATCAGTATCGTACAGAGACAAAAACAGCTCACATTGAAAGAGTACCGCGCTCCCAGGGTACTTTTATTACTCTCTACAGCATTATTACTAGTACTACCACCAGCCTGGAGACGCCGAGTGCACTGTGTGGTGGGTGTGTGTGTGTGTGTGTGTGTCGGGTAAGGGTGGGGGGGTCAGGTATAGTACACTCATAGGACGGCTCCATGTGTTTACAGCAGGTATGATACAGACCTCATACAGTGATCCTTAAATAGCCCGTTTACCCTCTTCACTGTGGATCAAAGATGTACAAAACAAGTATTTGTCACTGTGTTGGATGTTGATGGAGCTACCACACGTTCACATGACCAACTCAATGGCACATAGAAGAACATGTATTCTGCACTTTTCTTCATGGATGAAACACACAGTGTAAGATAGTATTCTTACAGAACCACACAAAGGCCTAATGCAGTGGTGCCCTGTCTCCCTGAACAGCCCCCTCTAGTGGTTGATGTTTCCCTGTGTGTTTTCCCTCAGTGAGCGCTCCTGAGTGGGCCTCCCGCAGCAGAGGGAGGGGCTCCTCTAGTGTTCAGTGCTCAGAAGTGCTCTTCTCAAACGAGAGGCTGGGCAGAGTCAATAGTTTGGGGTTGGTGCTTTTGGGCGAGCCCCGGTCGTGCCCGATGCCCTCCCCTACAGTCAGGTCAAACGAGTCCTTGGAGTCACTAGAGGGCGCCCTCCTCCTCAGGCAGGTGTCCTGTCCCGGCAGGAGGGGGGGCAGCCCTGTGAGCGCGTTCAGACCGGAGAAGTCCGGAGGGTCCACAGAGATACAGGGCGGGCTCATCTTCTTCTTCCTGCGGGGGGAGGGCAGCTGGGTGGAGGTCTGGAGACTGTCCCCTCTGGACACAAAGCCAGAGGAGGTGGAGGCGCTGCTGCGCTGAGGGCTGGACTCCACAGACGAGCACACCTCCACAGAGTGACGCCGCGGCTCATCCAACCACGACAGGGGGCGGGGCCGGGGCAGGAGTCTGCTGCGCCCTCTGGTGTCCACGCTGTGGAAGCGCTTCAGCCCGCGGCTCTCCTGTCTCTCCCCGTAAGCTGTGCTGCTGGTGAGGAGGGACACCTCCTGGTCCACCAGGCTCTCCTCCTGGGGCCCACAGGGGGCGACGCTGTGCTGCTCACTGTGCTGCTCACTGTGCGGGGGGGCAGAGGAGAGGGGCTGCTGCGCCACCAGACAAGAGGGCGGAGGGGCCAACACCAGAGACGCCACATTCACCAGTCCTTCACTGCTCTGCCCTGTGTCCGGGCACAGCGCCTCCTGAGAATCAGTCGACACTGCCACCTGTAGGACAGAGAGGGAGGGACGTAAGGAGGGAGCAGAGAGGAGAGAGAGAGAAAGAGAGAGAGAAAGAAAGAGAAAGGACTGTTAGAGCAGCAGGGTGACCAGGACACGCTGCAGTGCGTCAGAGGTCTTTTGATTTATTTATTTGAACAGAGGCAGACACAACAAACACAGATTAACAATTCAGTAACCTGATTCAGGCATCACAGTGATTATAGCCTGGGCTTATTTACAAAACCTTGGAAGAAGGGCTTATAAATAATTATTTCCAAAGAATTCCTTTCCTTGCAATTATAGAAGGTGAAATTCTATATGGTTAAAAATGTGTAATTCATTATTTAATTATTTGGCTTGTGTGTTTGTTGTCAGTGTGTTTGTTAGTGCATTCTGTATTTCCATTGGCATGTGCTTGGTTATGAGTTCATGTGTAAGTGTTTGGCTCCATCTGCTGGATTAAACTGACAACTGCAGGCGCCTCTTATAAAATGACACCACACAATATACACAGTTCAAAGTGCAATGTGCCTGTTTATTTTCTTATGCATTTATAACTTATATAATATCACTTTCTCTTTTTTGTTCTTGTTTTATTTGACACTTTTTCCATCCATCTTCTTGTTTTACTTTTATCACAAGACTAAACAGCACAGATGTTTACCTGTCTGCGGAGGGGCCGGTTGAGCGTGTGGGTGCGGCGGGGAGGGGGCAGGCGGGGGATGCCCTCTGAGTCGGACGCACTGTGGGGGCTGATGGGTCTGAAGAGGTCCGCGGGGATGGGGAGTTTTTGCGACCTCTCCTCGGGCTGGGAGCGCACCGAGCTACTGGAACCTGCACAGAACACACAGTCAGATCATACGTTGTGAGGACACTGACCTGTGTTCATTTCATCTCACATGAACAATAATCACTGCTTGCCTAAATCTTAAAGGTGGTGGAAGGTCCGCCACATGTTTACTTCCATGGAGATGTTATTGCTTTGCCTGGAATGCTCCACAGTATAGCATAAAATATATCCATCTTGTCTGTATATTTATTTAATTAGGTGTGTTTTTTAGTAAAAGTCAAAGTACCTTGAAAAACCTAAATCTTAGTGTGAGTTTTGCACTATTTACCATTTATTGTTTATTTATTACGCATGGGATAGTGAGAAACATAATTCCGATTCTTTGTATGAAGAACTGCCTTTCCGCAGACCTTACCAGTGAATTGGCCTGTTGTCACCCCCTGCTTTCTCTGTGGAGATAAATGCCCTACTGTGGAACATTCCAGGCAATTTTCATGGAAACAAGCAATTGACGCTGAAGTTGCACAGTGCAGCTTTAGCTCAAACCATAACCTGGATCTAAATGAACTCATAATGTCCACGACCTACTTAAGTGACCCCAAATAAATATGTTCAAATCAAATATAGCTTTTACTGGTGAAAACTTTAATGCTGGTTTATTTTTAATTACATAAACAATATCCAATCAGGAAGCAAAATGAACTTCACGTGAGTCTGAAACCTAAAAGTCCTCTCTCTGATCTCAATGGTCACTCCCCAAACCCCAGAAACTGCAGTCAATTATGAGTCAGTGCTAGTGCAGCCTCTGCAGCTCAGGGAGGGAATTCTAGAGGTTCTGAGTTTTGACATGAGGCTTGGTCTGTCCATATACTGAGAATGAGAAACACTTGGATGTGTCCTGTGGTGGAAAGTTTAGTATTGGGTGTTGTTCTTTCCGTTGTCCATGTAATAAGTGTTAAAAGCCACACTATTCTTTGTCTAATCCAGGGGTGTCAAAATAATTTTGGTGCAGGGGCCGTATCTAACCTACTTTGATCCCTAAGGGGCCGAAAAAGAAAAAAAAAAAAAAAAGCATATTTACCCCAAAAATAGCAATAAGTTCAAATATTTGTGCAGAGAAACACAAATCTATTACAGAAATACTTTTAATTGATTACTTTTTCTTTTACAAAATATTATAATATTATGAACAACCTGAAACTTTAAGAAAAATGCAATTTCAACACAATGTTTTAACATGAACTTGTAAACAAAAAATCCTGCACTCGGCGTCTGCTTTTCCCATTTTGGACAGTTTGCTGATGAGGGTGTCACGGTCAACAGTCAAAACGATCGTCCTTTAAGAGCGTTTGGAAAGAGACAAGTCTTCATTTGTGCTGCTCTGGTGGGAGGGGCCACGTACAGAGACACTGGAGACACTGCTATGATAAGCACCACAGAAAATTATCAATATTTTAATAGAAAATATAATTAAAATATTTTAGTAGAAAAACAGCCGAGGGCCACATTAAAGGTCTTGGAGGGCTGGACCCCGGGCCTTATGTTTGACACTCCTGGTCTAATCCTTTCTCTCACAAGAAGGCTATAGATGCCTTTGAGTTTGCCATTTACATGTCTGCGGTTTATGTCACATGTTAAATGTTTGATCATCATCTACTCAGATTCTTATGTAAAGGTGTTACATTTCAGAGCTCAGAAAGCCAACTGGCCAGCCAGACTCACCTAAATGCAAACTGTTGGGAAGGTCTTGGACAGTATTTAAGTGTTGTTACCCCACTGCTCTGGGCTCACTGCTGGCAGAAACTCTGTCTGTCAGTAGTAAGCCTGTTTCCAGTGTAAACATAATAAACCAACCTAGACAGTCTTCTCGTGTGTCTTGGCATTATTTTACCGATAATTTCCTCTATCTACAGGTTAAGGCTCTGACAGCACAGGTTCAGTTCTGATACTTGTAGCAGCTTTTTAAAACTTTAAGAGCACAGACTACATACAGTTCCTTTAACCTTAAAGTTGCACTGGGCTTCGTCACCTTCTTGTTTCTATGGAGATGTTCCACAGTATGACATTAAACAGATCTACCTTACATTTATTCAGTTACAGGCGGTTTTATAGCTCAACAATACCTAGAAAAACAAACATTCTGACCCTAACTTGGCCTGGTTTGGTCTCTACGATGATAGAAAGATTTAATATTTTTTTTATTTATTTGGTTGGTTGGGACAGAGCATGTTAATGGACAAACATGACACAACACCGGATTGTAGCCTAAGGTTAATTTCCATCCGTTGTCCCAAAGAGCTATAATCACAGGGGACCAAACACGAAAATATTGCACGCGCCATTCAATTTAATAACATCTCCACGGAGAAAACCATCTGAAAAGTTACTCAATGCACCTTTAAACCATGTTGTTGCTCTAAAATGCAGGGTTCATGTGCACAACTTACCTCTTGAGGACCTGGTGTCTTGGATCATGTTAGAATCATATCTATAGTAATTTATTTGTGTTTTGAGGAAAGAAATATCAGAATCCATCTTTAATTGGCATGTAAAAGTTATATTGTGCAATAGTGTATCATAATAAATAATGAAATAGAACAAGATATGGAAGTGGGGTGATTTGAGGCGCCTATAAACTATGGGACATTCACGTTTTTTGAAAGAAATAACCAAACTAATGGGATTGGCTGGGACGGACTCCACAAAAAAATGTATTTGGTTGTAATATAGGAAGTTCAAGGAATGCAGCCACTAATAGAACAGATCAGATTCAACATTTGTGTATTTTCTTTTCAGATATTTCTTCTGAGATTCATTTGCAAGTATGAGATCACATTCAAGGATCTGAAAGCCAAGAACTGACACGTATCGACACTCAAATTTCCTTTCAAAACCAAACTCGCAAACTCAACTTCCCCCCTTCGTCGCTATTTAAGAACGAGATAAAAATCCGTGACCTTTAAGAGCCGCCGCGGTCCTTTCAAAGCGCTCACCTGACTGCCCCCTGTGCGAGCCCAGAGCGTGGTGCGGCCGGTGGCTCTGTGGGAGGAGCTGTGCGGAGGACGTGCTGGCTGCCGACTGGTCGAGAGGCGGGAACATGTAGCTGTCGTTGGGCAGGGAGTGCGTGCGTCCGACCGCTGGCTTCCTGACGCTCAGCAGGTTCTCTTCTCTCGGACCTTCCCCGTTTAGGCTCTGGGGCTGTGGATAAGAGACAAGCAAGGTCAGGCTTCATAACAGTACTACTACTACTACTACTACTATTACAGTAAAGGTTAAGTACACACAGGAGAAGAACATGAGGTCTTTGTGTCGGAGTTGTCGATGCAGTTCGCACAGACAAGTTCGAGTTGCGTATGGTTTTTCATATTTTCATCTTAAAGTGCATATGACAGATTCTAACATCATATTTTAATAGACTAAAAATCTTGCCTATTTTTATTTTGTGAAGTTTATAATTTCACTTCCTGATTTCCTGGTTAGACACAGACAATTATGAGCACAGACTATCAGCCACCTTCCAAATAGGAAGTGAGCATTGGTGCTTTTTAGGTTCTGTCGAATCTGGCTCCAATTAACGTTGTATTGAAAACAACCATCTTAAAATGTTGTTGCTGGTGGTGTTTTTATTTCGTTATTTTGTCCCTAAACCAATTCCTATTAATAATAACTGCAAACCTCGATGAGCTTCACTTGACTGGAGCTGAACGTTATTGCTGACCTCAGACTTCCTTAGTTCACTTCTTTATACAGTCTATGACTATTATTACTAGATTATTTCATATATGTTAAATAGCAACCTTAAAGGGACAGTCTAGAATTTTGGACATAGGACCTCATTTCCTAGTGAGCCAGAGTGTTGGAGATGTGTGGAGACACTTTTTAAATATTCCATCCAGTCCTTGTATTTGCAGAGGTCACTGGTGCTAGGCTAGTGCATGTCAATGGCCATAGTTATCCTGCCACTAAAAACAGTCTTACCCACTCCACAAAACACCTGAAGCAAATCTATTATTACACCAGACTGTCCATGTGAATGTTTGTGTTGACAGAATAATGTTTGAAATAAAACCACCTTTGCATCGCATGAATCGTCGCATGTTGAGGGACTATTTTCTCAGCAGCAGAGGAATTTTACTTTGCTGGTAAGATAGGTGTTAGGTGATATCCGTCCGCCACTGCCGAGCTTTCTATCATGAAGTACAACTTGCTGCTGCTGCTCAGACATAAATCCTCCAAATGCAAGGTTGGTTTTACTTCTAAAATTATTTTATTGACACAGACATTCACATGGACAGTCTGGTGTAATAATAGATTTGCTTCGGGTGTTTTGTGGAGTGGGTAAGACTGTTTTTAGTGGCAGGATAACTATGGCCATTGACATGCACTAGCCTAGCACCAGCGACCTCTGCAAATACAAGGACTGGATGGAATATTTAAAAAAGTGTCTCCACACATCTCCAACACTCTGGTTGATTAGATCACAGAAATAGAATAGATGACAACACCTTTATTGTGTTTTTTTAATCTGTCAGGAAAATACCTTCTTGTGCGTAACTTGTCCTCTGTCTTAGCATTAGCATTTTGGAGCATTTTGGAGGGAACTTTTGTCAGGAGGATTGTCCTGTCGTGTAGCTATAAAGGTGAAACTAACCACTTTGTCTCTGGTGGTTCATTTTGGTTAACCGCCAATGAAATCCAGTTAGGAGCAGATGTTGGTTATGTCCGTTTGCCACTTCACATTCAAATAAAAAACCTAAAAGACTTCTATTTTTTCCTACTGGGATTCTTTCCATTCTTAACTTAATTTGTATTTTTTATAAATTCAAAGAGTCAAATTCAAATGAAATACACAATTAAATTATTTCTTGCTTCACTATGTTGCAACTATTATAGGCAATATTTCAATCATAACTCCTGCTCTTGTCAACCCTGTTGTATTCACAAAACACCAAACTGTAAGAAATGTCATTATTTCAAGGTTGAGAAAAAGGAGGAAACGTCAACTCTGTTATCATGTTTTTAACTATTACTGCTTTTACTACTAACATACCCACAACTTTTTGCATTTATTACACAGAATAGGACTAATTGCACTGAAAAATATTAATAATTAATTTGTTTTGCTTTAAATTGTCAACCCTGTTACTGTCAACCCTGTTACAAAGCTCTGTTCAAAGGGAAACATGTTTGACATTTTTGACATTAGAGTATCTATCTATTTTATTTTAAGCATTTCAGTTTCAAAGTTTAAGTTAGAGAGTTAGATTTCAAGAACGTTCTGTTAGTTTGGTGTTGTTACGTTGCAGATCATGACATTATTTTTTCAGGTGCACCCTTAGTTTGAGTTTTAAGAGAGTGAGAATCGGACGCAGACCCACATAGAAAGCACACGGGATCAACACTGGGACAGAAACGGGACAGAGGAGGTTTAGGGGTAGAGAGAAAGCGTGGAGCTGTGGAGGAGGCACTACTCTACTGGACTGGACTGGAGAACACACAGGAGGCTGAAAGGTGGAATGACAACATTAGATTCTCCGGGGTTCTTCAATGCTGCATGCTCCACAATGTTTTGGTATTTTACTTTTTGAAGATCTCTGCAATTCCACTTCAAGTCATTCAGTCATCATGCGTATATGCAGTAGTCTAAGCCGCAGCAAGATGATCCATGATTTGTAATATCTGATTTAAAATTGTACCAATTTGTCACAAAGAAGAAACAAAAATTAAACACTATTGCGGGTATGTTTTTGATATGAAAGACCGCAATCATAGAGTTTTAAAAATGGCGGAAGATATCAATATCTTTAATTAATATCACAATAGTTTTTTGCCTGAATGCAAATTAGTAAGGATGTAACAATATCCAAACCTCTTAGTATGATATTTATTGCGATATTTTGGAGAGACTAATATAATTCTTTTTGCATTTAAAATACCTTGACAAGATTTGGTGCGAATCATTACTGTCATAATCCCAAGAACTCACGTAAAAAACATATTTCTTCATGTTGTCTGCACTGAAATGAATCATGGGATATGTAGTTCTCTATTTTTATTAGTTTTTGCTACTATAAAACAATACATTTAAGCAAAGGAACTTGTAATTCGATATATATTGTGACACCTCACGGTATTATTGAGAGACTTTTTACGATACAATATCACGATATTTTCAGTTATTGTTACATCCCTACAAATAAGACTATAGAGTGTATCGTCTATTGTAAGAAAACTCTCAAACACTAAGACGTTGTTCTGTATGCAGTCATATTTTAGCATCTTTGACCTGTCACTTTTCACATGTACGAAAACTTAATAATAATAGGTGTAGGAGCCATTTTTCTTTCGTTTAGGCTGGGGTTAATTGGGTCACTGTTTGTCTGGGCACAGGGTGACCTATATTCGGCTTGGCCACAAGGGGGCAGGGTGGAGTCAAGCCCTATATAAATGCACAGGTGCCAGTGTACTGGGTGTATGGGTGACAGGAGGTTACATGATTTTTACCGCGCTCCTTCTGACCGGTGGTCGAGCTTTCACTACCCAACTCTGTAATATTATTGAACATCTATTCATCCATCCTACTTCTTTCTGCTCTACAATCTAATGTGCCAATCTGGTAGCGCGTTAGGCCTGGATCCCCTGCACTCAGAAACGACAAAGGGTTAGGACTAAAATTGTCGCTACAATACATTTCTTATGTAGCTTTTTGAAACGCATAATTAATTCAGTCCAGCTCATTGGTGAGAAGATTGTAGCCACAGCTGTTCTGGGACAGACTGATAAAAGTGAGGCTGCCAGTTTGCACCGTCAGAACCTCTGACAACCGCCGACACTCACATACACACCGCATTCACACTAGGCAATGTGGACGAAGTGTCTTTCCTAAGGACAGTTTTTCCCAACATTACTCAATTCTGGCACCTGGTATTCTCAGTGGTTTCCCATCCAAGTATTGACCAAGTATTGACCAAGTATTGACTAAGTACTGCTGAGCTTCGGAGGTTTGAAAAGATCAGGTTTTGACAAGGAGAAGTGGCCGTAACAAGGAGTTTGACCCTGAACCCAGACATTAACAGGCATGTTTAAAACAGAGCCTTGTTTTCTGGGCACAGGACACATTTTGAAAGCTCATTGATAAACTTCAGTCCCACAAACTAAATATGAGTGTAAAGTAAAATATACTAATGCTTCATGTATGCCTATCATACATCATTTTTGCTGGATATTTTATTTGGCATTAATAAAAACATTTCAAGCGGCCTAAATTTGCGGATGTGGTCAAATTTTTGCGCACATTTTAGACAATTCCTTTCCACGTCTATGTGTTTGATAGAGCTTAAGAAAGCGAACGTCCCAATCTAGCAGGAATGGGACAATATATCGCAGATACGAGCGGGAATGGGGATAAAAATTAAAATTTTTTGCAGACAGGCATAGGCGGGAGCGGGACTGAAAATTCTGTCCCGTGCAGACCTCTAGTTCAAATTCCCATCAGTATTCTCAGTATTGTATTTCAGTATTGTCCACCACCTGTTTAAAGCTGAACAGAGTCAACTCAGCATAACGTGACCTTTTAGCATGAGCGAAACTATTGCACAGTGCAAGGTTACAGTGACCCTTCCTTCTCACGTGAGCAGAGGGCGCTAATATCGATACTAACGCCGCCTAAACCGAACCCAGCAGGCTGCAGATAATTACCTCTGGAGCCTACAATGACATTCTATTCATGTTCGATTTGGGGGGAGATGTCCTTTCCCGCGGTAACCGGCTTTGGAAGTCAGGGTATTATGGAGCGATGTATAGATCTGGGGAAGTTAGATAGTGCTAATGGGTCACATGATCAGCTCAAAGAACGAGCTGATCTGTGAGGAACGCCTTTGAAGAACTTCTGGAGGACAGCGGCTGTTTGTGTAGAGCTCTGCAGAAGATGAGAAGGTCACTGGTCATCATTTTTTAACAGTGCATCAGGAATATACTTAATTGTGCTTGTAAATGTCTTGGTTGAGGTTGAAGTCTAACACAAAAAGAGCATGGACCATAAACTACTTTTAAGTTTACTTTAAAGTTCATACTCTTGTTTGAGAGATTTCTTTTTTTTTTTCTCTTTTTAATGTAATTTTTTATCGTTTTTATTACAAACGATACACTCAATATTCAAATTTTGCACATCAACAAAACAAACATCAGGCTCTGTGCACAATGGCCGTGTAGCTATTTCCACCCTAATGCAATCTCTGTTTGTTTTTTCCTGAGGCGTGTGAAAATTAAATAAATGCTGACAGATCAGGCAGTGGACAGGCAGCTGCAGGTGGATGTCAAAAATAACTATGTTTTTGTGTGTCCATGCAAATGCAGACTTTTATTAGAACGTTAAATCTAACAGAGGGCCCGATCAAGCAGAAGTAAACAGCAAGGCCAAAAATTCAAGTTAATGCATCTGATATAAAAATGTATTGAACAGATACATATGTACTCTAGTTTATGAAACTGTTGACCTTTTTCTGTACCATTTTTGGTTCTAAAGTTACATATGTTTTAAACAGACCATGTATGAAACATGGAAGAAAAATTATTTCCCAAATTTCAAAGACCTGCAAATCATGTAAATAAATGGATGTATTTCATCATATCTTGTGTTATTCCATCTTTGAACTGTTGATGAAGGTACATGATTTTTTTTTTTTTTTTTATGTATTTAAAATGATAAAAATTGGCTTGGAAGGACTGACATATTTTATAGAAATAGTTTCCTTTCATTTTGAAGTATTCAGTAGGAAAAAGCTGACAAATTATGCAAAATCATGCACCTTCTACTTGTTTGCACAATTTTCCCTCCGTTACTTTTCCCTCCGTTACCATGACCTTTCTTAATAAAAAATGTCATGACTCAAAAAGTAAGAGATTTTTTCAACCTAATCTTGTACCATATGGTAGAAAACTATATGAAGCAAATATTCAAACCAGTTTGTTAAGGATATGGAAGTGAGAACCAAGAGTTATCACTGTTTGGATTTATTGACCAAAAAGTGCTGCATATTTCATTCCTCCGTTACTGACATGAGTTTAAAATTTTTGTCAACAACTTGAAAGAATATCACAGGTTTAACTTGACCCTGTTGTAGTGTAACTCTTTCCTACATTCTGATACTTTACTTATTTCAATAGTCCCTCTAGTTTCTGAATAAGAGACATTTGAATGTCAAAAATCTGCCCCTGTTTCCCTCCGTTACCACTTGACTGGACCCAGAACGAAATGACGTTTATAGGTGTAGATACTTTCAGTCTGTGGTATTCTCTCTGAACGGAACTGGCTGGGTACCACTGTGCACAGAAACTATTGTGATATAATTAGTTTTTCCACCCCTAATTGAGAATAATTTTTGTCTTCCAGAATGTATTTCCAAAAATGACCTTCCATCTACCCTCCATACTCAGTTCCAATCATATTGAACATGTAGCTTTGAAAGAACCCCGGGAAAAACAAACTGCAGAGAGGAGAGAAGGCGATGGAGTCAAAGCAGCGTATGGCTCAGTACATTGCATTCCAGGCTGGTTAGAAAAAGAGGATTAAAATCATCGGCGGTGGAGTCGTCGGCCAGCGACCAGGATCTCTCCGAGGCCAGAGACAGAGCTTCCATCTCCGCTAGAGGGATCTACAGCAGGAAGAGACAAGCGCGTGAGCACCAGCCAAACCACAAGTCTACACACTACAGGCCAGGGAGGGCGGAGGAGGGCACTACGGGGGCTACGGTGAGACTACATGAACACTAAGGTGATAGAAGTTACCTGGTGTTGAAGTTCTAGAGACTTTGTGATGCCAAAAACCCAACTAACTTGAGCATTTGGCAGATTCATGCAGATTGTTTGGGCCAATGAGACCATCATAATGAATGTATAGTGCTTTGGTATCATAAGAAGATAGAGCATTAAAGGTGCACTGCGTAATATTTCTAGTGGGTCCTCAATCTGTTTGTCTCCATGGAGATAGAATGTTCCACAGTACAGATTAAACCTATCATGATGGAGACAAGTAGGTTACAGCACTACATTACATTTAAATTCAGATCTGTGGAGAGTCGCCCCTATTAACAGAAGTATATATAGTGTTTTTGAGAAATAGAAACACCCATGATGAATAAATCCTAGATGTATACGTTAGAGATGGGCATTCAATTAAATATTCTTAATCGATCGTAGAGAGAATTAATGATTGTTTTTTGATTAATCATTAATGTTTTTATATTAAAATGATCATCATTATTATTACTATTACTAATCAGCATAAATAAACTTAACTTTACAACATATAAACCATAATCACTCTAGAGCCACATCAGTTTGACATTATAATGTGTTTAATTCAGCTTTGACACATTTATTTATGTCTTACAGAAACAAAACTTAAAACTGCATGACTCATTTGCATAAACTAAAAGTGCGCTGCTCTTAGCTCTTAGTGCAGCTCTTTATTTAACACTCATTTCACTCACTTTATTTATGTTGGTCACTGTATTTATTTTGGCTCCTGTTGTGATGAAAAGACTGAAAAGTGTTTGTCTTTTGGACGCATGAACTTTATGTTGCAGTAACCAGGATACTGCGTTTACATGCTCCATGACGGGACACTGATCTGATACACACTCATGAGTGGTACAGTGATGTCCAAGGAGGTGCCAGAGCCAAAACGTGGAACTGTCAGGCCCCAACTCCAGTGTTTGCGCTGTCAGACGCAGCCTTGTCTTTTTACGCTACGCTATGCACATCAACCTACATTCAGTTTGTCGATTAAAAATAAACATGATCGATGAAATTCTTAATGATCGATTATCGATTAGTCGACTAATCATGCCCATCCCTCGTATACATTTAATGTCATAGCATGAAACATTCCAAGCAAAGCAATAACATCTCCATGAAGAAAAGCAGGTAGCGGACTCTCCACCAGAAAAGTTGCACAATGCACCTTTAATAAAGCATGAACAAAAACTTAATTCAAAATAAACAAATACTTTATTATAAAGGGTTCAGCTTTCGCAAATACTTATTGATAGGGTTAGGGACAAGCTTTTTATGAAGTAGTTTCTAAGCCTGAATAATTCTTTAAAAACTGTGTTCATTATGAATTATGTCCTGCTTCATTTAAGACTATTAAAAGAGTAGTTAATACAAAATGTCAACAAGGGTGTCAACAAAATTCATGAATAATGAAATGTTGTCATTATTCTGTATGAAGTCTAGAGCGAAAAAGGAAGCAACACTGAGAGACACAGTATCAAAATGAAAGCGCCTCATCTCATGTTGAGGTTATTACAATATGAATGATAAATAAAGACAGAATCAGTGGTTAGCTTAATTGCACAGAGCGACAAAACATCAGTGACAAAGAAGAAGAGGGGTCCTTTATGAATCTGTTGTGATGCTACGCGCTACACAATGAGCAACCATTACACTGTCCATATGAGATTATAAACGTTTTAAATGTGCATTGTGTAACTTTTCTCCATCGAAATGTGGTTGCTTTGTCTGGAATGTTTCACAGTACGGCATTCAACCTTTTTTTATCATCACTGAAATCAAACTAGATCAAGTTACAGGTTGGATCTGCGGAGAAGCAACCTCACTCACAGGATATAGAATGTTTGTTTTTCTCGGTATTTTTGAGCTATAAAACCACCTGCGCTTGAATAAACGTAAGGTAGAGCTGTTTAAAGTCATACCGTGGAACATTCCAAGCAGAGCAATGACATATCCATAGAAACAAGCAGGTGGTGGAACCAAAAATGCAACCAAAAAGTGACAAAATGCTATTCTATATCTGTTAAATGTTCTATCTGGACCCACTGGAGCTAAAGCTTCATCAATTGAGATGTTTGATTGAGGTAAGTGCATATGTCCAACTACAGGGATCTACAGCTGTGGACAGGAGAGATGGGAGTTAGCGCAACCAACAAAAAAGTGATTTGGTGGATGATTCTTAGAGAAACTTAACAGATTTGACTTTATGTATGAAACACATAGGGCTGCACTCTGTCTGATCAATGTTTTCTTCAACTTCATTAAACATTCACGATGTATTATGTATCACACTGCAAAAATATCAGTTCAATATTCAGTTTCAATATTTGTCATGTTGCTGACTGAGTATTACAGTTTCAAAATAGTTTAACAAATTGCATAATAACTGCTAACCCTTTACTAATACCCCAACCCTAACTTTGTCTGGGATGTTTCACAGTTAAACCTTTCTATATTCATGGAGACCAAACCAGACCAAGTTACAAGTCAGATCTGTGGAGAGGCAACACCGCTCACAGTCAGTATGTCTGTTTTTCAAGGTGTTTTTGAGCTATAAAACCACCTGTAATTGAATAAATGTAAGGTAGAACTGTTTTATATATTTTAGAATATTCTAGATCAGGGGTCGGCAACCCGCGGCTCGTTCGTCCTTCTGTTGTGGCTCTCTGTGATTTTGGAAAATAAATAACGAGTATCTACTTACTATGTATTTTAATTTTAGTCTGTTTGTTTTTAAATGTAATTCTAAATTTGTAGATAATGGTAATCCTGTAACATTCAAATAAAACGTTTTTAATATTTTTGTCGCTCAGAATATGCATCAAAGCCACCGATGTGCGGCACCCGGCACAGATCTGGCAGCCCGGATTTACCAGGTCCTACACCAGCAGTATGATTTATTATTATTATATTATTAGCTTTTTGACCCCTGGTACAGAAATGATGGATAAATCCAAGAAAAAAAAAAGTTTCTGAAGAAAACAGAACATTTAATGCTATGTGGGCAGATTCATTTTGTATCACGGCTGATGAGACTGAGACACGCGGAACTACATGCAATAAAATGATGACGGAACACAGAAGCAAACGGCAGTTTTGGTTCGCTGCGGGTGGATCGTGTAAGTTTGGATTTTTATTTCCTACGAGGAAGACTCAAAAATATATTGAGTAATAATGTGTTTAATGCAGCTTTGTGCACATTTGTTTATGTTTTACAGAAACTAAACTTAAAGCCACATGACTCATTTGCATAAATTATTAGCGCTCTTTGTGCCGCTGATGTGGTCAGCTTCTGTTGGACTAAAGGACAAGAATCAGTGGAATATGAGTGTTTTTTTCTGTGACAGAGGATGTGCTGCTGATGGTGAGTCTCTTTTGTGCTTCTATCACATTAGAGATGGTTGATGTGAAATTTTTCAGAGATTATGCATCTGCAGATCATCTGTATATATGAAGGGAAATATACTCTGTGTAGCATTTCACTGATGTCATAAAGGCAACACACTATAGTGTTTTATACAGAAGACACAGGTAAAACAATGATATGCAGTGTTCTCCTCATTTTAGAGTCAAAGGGGTTTTGTGGCTCCAGGTGTTTTCTTTTCTGTGGGAGACACTCCAAATGGAGCATTTAAGGTTGCCGACCTCTGCTCTACATGGAAGAATGACATATCTATCTGATATTGCTAATATTAGAACGATATCAGAGATGCCTAGTTTCAATGATTTCACTGACTCAGATATACATTTTTTGCAGTGTAATTCCATAAAATTTTAAATATAAGTGTTTGATGCAGCCGTATGCCTATAAGCTCTAAATCAAAATGGTGGCAGGGGGCGGGGCTCGGAGGCGGGGCTTGACCTTCTCGTCGCCGCGGGGCTTGCCGGGCCGGGGCGGGAGGGCGTAGAAGTGGCAGATGGAGCCAGAGAGGTTGTCCATCAAACTCAACTCGCCAAACTCCATAGAGCCGCGCATGACCAGGGACACCGAGTCGAGCGGCGCCCTCCGCTGGTCGCGCAGTGCAAGGACAGACGGGACACAGAGGCAGTGGACAGGAGGAGGGACAGTGGACAGAGAAAGAGAAGACAGTCTATCAGTGAGACACACAGAGACACGAGACACAACTACACGTATAAGAAGTTGCATTGATGGTCAAACTTGTTCTGAGAATGAACACACGGTCATTTGGTTGGTTACTTTTTTATTCAAAGGTGCATTGTGTAACTTTTCCGTCAAATTCTTTTCTCCATGGGGATATTATTGCTTAATTTAGAATGTTTCATAGTATGGCATTAAACCTTTCTACCTTCATGGAGACCAAATCAGATCAGGTCAGATCTGTGGAGAGGCAAACCCGCTCACACCAGAGTCCTGCACGGGGTTGGCTACCTGCAGATAGTTGCTAAAACGGGCGGGTTTTAACGTTCTGGAATTTTACGGGTGGCGGGTAGTGATTACGAATTAAATGAAAGACGAACGGGAGAAAAATACTTGAAGTGCGTCCAGGATGTCTGTTGCCCTGGAAACAAGTGCCATTTCCCGATCTTTTTCTGGAACGATGGGCCAGGCTGAGAGAGAGATTTCAGCATATTTATTACATAAAACCATCAGCGGAGGTGATCAGCTCAGCAGCAATCCTGGTTTAATCCTGGTTTAGGCCCGATCAAATCCTGGTTTATTCCTGGTTAAGTCCTGGTCCAGTGCTGGTGCAGTCCTGGTGACTGGTTCGGCGGTATATATTTATGCTAATGACACTGGTTTAGTCCTAGTTTTGTCCTGGTTAAGACCTGGTTTAGTCCTGGTTCAGTCCTGGTGCAGTTCTGGTCCAATCCTGGTGTAAGTTCTGGTCCAGTCATGGTCCAGTTCTGGTCCAATCCTGGTGTAAGTCCTGGTCCAGTCCTGGTGTAGTTCCTGTGATCGGCTCTGCAGTTTGCAGAATGTATATATTTATAATCTATTAATGACACAGCATAGGTTTAGTCCTGGTTCAGTCCTGGTTCAGTCCTGGTTTAATCCTGGTTTAGTCCTCGTCCGTTGGGCTGTCGAACTAATGGGCTGACCCTGATTTATCACGGGCGGGTAATGGGTGGAATGTTAACAGGTCTGGGCAGGTGCAAATTTAACTTTGACATAATCACAGGTTAACTGGCAGGTGTGGTGCTGTACTAGGCGAATGAGGGTGGGTGCGGGTCTCCAAAAATGAACCTATGCAGGACACTGGCTCACAGTCAGAATACCTGTTTTTCTAGGTATTTTTGAGCTATAAAACCAACTGTAATTGCATAAATGTAAGGCAGAGCTGTTTAATGTCATACTGTGGAACATTCCAGGGCAGAGCAACAAGCAGGTGACGGACCCTCAACCAAAAAGTCACACAGTGCACCTTTGATGACTATTTAGTGTATAAAACTGTCAAAGCAGATTCAGCCCACACATTGAACTATTGATACTTTGCAGTGACATCACACTGGGGGTGTACTGCATGTATTTCCTGTGAAGGAAGTTCAGTAGTTACCATGGAGACACAAACACACATTAGCAAACACTGTCGAAAAAGTATTCAGATAGTTTGAAAACTCAAGAAATGAACACAAAATGGAGTTACACAACATATTTTCAAGAGTTTGTGATCGATACGAGCATTCATGGTCCTGTTTAGGAGTTTGATTTTCAACAAAAAGGTGAGCATCATCTAACTCTTTTTTACCTGGATTGTGTTAAAACAAAGCTCATATTAATGACTAATTTGAGTAACAGAGCTTCAGACAGAGAAGAGTTTCAAAGTTAGAGTCACACTTCCAGGGAACGTTGATGACATAAGCTGCAAAGTTTCAGTTGTTAAGTTCTTGGCTTGTCGAGCACAGAAGCCATTTGTCAGATTGTGTAAGTTCCACCTTGAAATTATTTTTAGACTGAGCGTCACCAAATTGCTCTGTTGAATACAAATGTCAAAACACAGTCCAGGCTGGCCAAGATGTTTTCCTGAAGTGATTAAATGGTAGCCAAAGTATGGTACCTAAAATGGATCTTCAGAGACTCTCCAAGAGGTTTGATTTGGTTTTGGAGTATCGTATATTTTGCTATGAATGAAGTGCACAATCAAAGTGAACAGTCGGAAGTGAGTCCAAGGTAAGGTACACTTTACTGTCCCCATGTGGACATTGTTCCTCTGCATTTGACCCATCCTTCAATGCACCTGTCAGATTTTGAGTTGGTCTTGGTCAGGACTACCTTAAGCCAGACGTACACTGTGAGATTTTTGGCCATTTTTGAGCCGATTTTTCACTTGTGCGACAGTTTTTGGGATTGGGCTGACCTTTGGCTGACTTCGTTTCGTAAACATGGGGTAACGAGAACCGATTAATACCTCACGACCAGCTCCCAGTCGGCAATCGTAGGCCGCAAGAACATCAAACCTGTTTGAAATCCAGTCGCCTCTTGTGAGGGCTTCGCTCTGTTGAAGTAGTTCGTATAGTGTGAGAACATGAATCGTGAGCTGTGAACTTTTAAACTCTGCGATTTGGTCGTACAGTTTGAACTGGGGCTGAGTGAAACGATCGAAAATATCACACAGTGTACGTCCGGCATTAACTCGATGTTACCACCTGTGATTCATTTTTTGGGTTGATATAGGAAAACCCAAAAGGAAAACCACCCAGACACAGAGAGAACATGCAAACTCCTGAATAAATCTGAACAAAGTAGGTTTTCATAAATCCGTGAAAAACGTACTTTGGGTTTGTTTAGCTGCTGACACTTCTCAGTTTGTTTCTCCAAAGCAAAGTTTAACAACCTTTAATAATCATCATGTATTTTCTCCATCACATTCATGTTTCTGTGTTAAGTTTGGTATAAACAGTTCTTTATGAACACAGCGCAACTCAGAGGTAGGACTGAAATACATTAAGGTACAATATGCAACTTTCTGGACAATGTAAATTTCTCTGATCTGGCCAAGATTTGAAAACTTTTTTATCAGGTTATTCATCTTGTTTTCAGATTTATTATCGACTTACTAGTTCTGAGACAGGTCATTTATTTGACTATAACTTGTCAAGTTAAATGATCTTGCTGCATGGACAGATAATTTCACTGTCTACTTTCTATTTCTAAGTCATTTTCTGGTAGATTTAAGTGTTTATATCTTAAATTTTGTCAAAGCTTTTTGCAGTGGAGGTGGCACATCAACTCCATGGAAACAGAAAGTTAAAAGCGTATTTGCGAACGCTCTGCATGGAGACAGAAGTTTTATGCCTTGTTGTGGAAGATTATAGACAAAGGAACAATATTTCCTCCAGGCCAAATGAATGACAGTCAGGTTTGTGGAGATGCAAGCCCACTCATAGGAAAGACTCGTGATTTTCAGTCCAATAAATACACAACACAATTAATTTTTATTTTGTAATGCCTAAAAAATCATACTGTGGCTTTAAAATGAAGACAAATATTCTCAACTGAATCACTTGAAGTAAATAACTATATTCCTTTTGCAATGTAAAGCTATTCACTGTTAGTTAAGTTAGATAAGAACACAGTTGAGTTTGCAGACACCCATAACGTCCACAGGGGGGCACTGGTGCACTGCGCGTCTCCTCCGTGGCCCCCTCCCTCCTCCCCCGCACAGCAGAGCCCAGCAGAAGAGCCGGCAGTCCTGTTTTTACAGAGAGAAAGTCCCTGCGCTCTGGAAATAGTCTCTTTAGTCGTCAACAAACCCCAGCGGCACCGCTTTCCCATGGCACCCTGACCCCTCCGACTGGCACGTCCTCTCCCCGCCACTGGCTAATGTCTGAAATGCTCCAGTCTATTTTCTGGACAGGGATGTATACAGCGATTTGGGCTCATCATAATATCCTGCTAGTTGAATATATCACTAGAGTTGTGTTCTTTCTTTCAATAATCCTGCGTATTAAAGGTGGACTGCGTAACTTTTTTATTCAACTCCAGGTGCACCTTAGAAAAAACATATATTCTTACTGTAAGCGGGGTTGCATCTCCACAGATCTGACCTGTAACCTGTGGGACATTTCCGGCACGGCAATAACATCCTCCAGAAAGGTTACATAATGCACTTTTAATCAGACTCCCACTACAGCTAGTAAAATGCTTATCCATGCAGCTCCTCTTTGTTTTTAAAATGCTCAAATTATACTATTTTCTGATCTATGTTATAATGTAGGTTTTTTGTTTGTTTATTTGTTTGTTTGTTTTTTTCATTCACACATGTTTAACCCACAAGTTCTTCTCTCAAACAGAAAACACTCTGTTCCACCTTGTGATGAATCTGGTAATATATGAATGTGTTTTTAAACTCCATGCACCTTCACTGGAATCGTTTGGATCATTTCAGCGCCGGAATTGCCGATTTCTGCTGAACAAAAAGTAAAAACTTAGCTGTTAACGTGAAAAAAACTATCGCTTCATGACATCACAAGGTGGAACAGAGCATTTTGAGCTTTGGAGATGTAGACAGACATGTGTGAATGAAATAAAACACAACTCTAGGTATGTTTTTGAGGAGACAGCAGCATTATAACATGGCTTAAAGCTCACAAGAATCCATAATAAACAACTTTTAAATCCCACGTTACATTGTTCTAACCAGCGATCGTTTTATTTTCATGTAAATAAATGATTTGTCTTTTTTTTTCAGCAGCCCTTAGAATCAAAATGAGACCGATGTGTGGTGTCTGCGTCTAATTCTAAAGTCTAAACTCCACTCTAGCCTCTAAAAGTTGTGAAAAGTGCTTCTAAACTCATCGTGTTGAATAGTTAGGACACTCAGAAAGTATAAAGTAAGTGAGGGATAACTTTTAAAATGAACTACTTTTGTTTTTCATGTTTTGAGCCAGTTAAAACCACATCTTATAACGCCTCGAGCTCCCTGCTGGCAGTGTAACTTACTCGTACTTATACATTATTCAGAGTTTATCAGGCAAAAGTGTCCAAAAGTAAATTTAAACCCCTGAATAATGCATAAGACCTTTAAGTAACAGTGGCTAAGGTTTGCACACTGCTAGAAATCCATTAGGAGAGACAGCCCCAGCAGGTTTTGGTTTTGTGTGTTTGAATCAAAGCTTTGGCAGACACCCAGGGGTCAGGTGAAGGGCCCTGCAGTTTGGCCCCTGGCAGAAAGTGACCAAAAAGCAACTGCGTCCTCTGAAATGCTGACACATCAATAGTTTGACCAAGAGGAAGCGACGGAGATGACCCATAGAACTCAAAATCAAAGCAAATACATGACTTTATATGTTAATATTAAAGGTCTTATTTTACACAAAATGTATTCTTGTGAGCTTTAAGACGTGTTAGAATCCTCGTCAAAAACAGACCTGCAGTTGTGTTTTGTTTAAATCACGTGTTTGAGTAATCCTTTATTATTAGTCTGCCCACATCTCCAAAGATCAAAATGCTCTGTTCCACCTTGTGATGTCATGAAGTGCTAGTTTTTTTAGTTTACCATATTTTCGGACTATAAATTGCACTTTTTTCATGGTTTAGGTGGTCTTGTGACTTATACTCCGGTGCGACTTATATATTAAAATTTTCAGACTGACAGCTGCGAGAGGCTCTAGTCTTGTGTGTCAGTATCTAATACTATTATTATGCCTGTACCACTGTGAATTTGCACTCTATTGCGCATGCCTCCTGTAGAAAAAGCCGCCGTCTGCAGCTGAAAACAGTAATCGAGCAGCAGAAAGAAAGTTTGGAGTGAGCGAGAAACTTGTGAGGGACTGGCGGAAAGTGGAGATGGAGAACACAGCTTCATGGCAAACGGGCGGGTGTGCCATGCAACTTTCCTGAAGTCACTGGATGAATCGACAAAGCCTAAACTTCAATGACAACCGAAACATCCTGTGGGGATTCAGAAAGGCCGGAATAATTCTAACTGGAACTGATGCTGAGTCTGACGACAGCGACACAGAAGAGGAAGCGCCGCTCTGTTTACCTCATGGATCTATGGTTTGTCTCCGGAGGTCGTGCAGAAGTGACACAGAGGATGAAGAATTCAATGGATTTAGTGATTTGGAGTGAGACGGAGAGTTTGGTAAACTTATGTTCTGTTGTTTATGCTATAATTATCTGAAGAACTGTTCATATGTTACGTTAACATATTAACGCCTGTTCAGTCTGTTGTTCTCTGTTCTGTTGTTATTACTAAAACTTGCCTTTCAAGATGAAATGTCGGTTCCTGGTCTCTGATTTTATAAAATACATTTCCCCAAACAGTGCGACTTATAGTCTAGTGTGACTTATATATATTTTTTTCTTCTTCATTACACATTTTTTGGCTGGTGCGACTTATACTCCGGAGCGACTTATAATCCGGAAAATACGGTAGTTTAGCTTTTAGTTTGTTTATTTATTAGTGTCAATGCACATAAAACACTGAGCTACACAAAAAAAGTCAGATGTTTGTGCTGGGTTATAGCAAAATTGTTCATTTCCACCTTCAGTCCCTGGTAGGGATGTAACAATAACCAAAATATCGTGATATCGTATCATCAAAAGTCTCACAATAATATCATGGACCATCACAATATATCGATTTGCAAGTCTTTTTTGCTGAAATTAATAGTTATGTGTTTTTTTTTTATGTCTTTCTTTGTGGTTTTAATGTTTCTTATTCTGTAAAGCACTTTGAATTACTTTGTGTATGAATAAACTTGCCTCACCATGGTGCAGCAAAAACAGAGGGAACTACATAGACCATGATCCTTTGGTGTTATTAGTCCAGACTACATAAAGAAATAGCTGTTATTAAGCACTTCTAAATCTTCTTTATATTATAACAGTACCAAAGGCTTTCCAAGGCTTATAAAGGAAAAAGTACAATATTCACAGTTTTATATCACAATAAATATCGAACTGTGAGATGCAAATGGTGAAAATATCATATCGAGGGATTTTGATATCGGTACATCCCCAGTTCCCTGGACAGGTTGATGTCATGCCAATAAAATCCAAGTCAGTCAAAAGTAAAACTAGTCTCATTTGGTTTCAGCCATCATCCATACACTATTTACATATTTACAGTTCATTTACAAGTTCACAGCTACCTTTTACAGTTCAGTAAAGATTGGCAATTCCACGACAGAAGAAGAGAAGAACAAAGTGTGTTAAACATGTGTGAATGAAACAAAACACAACTCCAGGTCTGTTTGTGATGAGGGAACGACACGATAACGTAAAGTAGATCAGAAAATAGCGTCATTTGGGCCTTTTAATCAATTAAATGTTAAAATTTGGACTGGAATGTTCCACAGTGTGACATTTAAGTCGTTTTAAATTGACCCTTGAGACTAGCAGGTGATGCAGGGTTAAGTTTACAGGTCAGATTTTTTTTATAATTTATTTTTTAACACCTGCAAGTGAATCAATGCAAGACAGATTTGGGCAAAACTCAATGGGCAAAGCATTTTGAATTTTCACAAAATGGAATATCCCAGTCCCATTAGTGTGGAAACAGCCTTTGCCAACGTGGCCGACAACAGCTGGACATTTTGGGGATCATTTGAAAGCCTGGACTCTCATTTCCAAAACACAATCACGTGATAAGATAATTGACATTTTAATGGCAGAATCAGCTTTGAATGTTACTTGTGAGCAGAACATGCTTATCATAAATGCTGCAATAGTTTCAGACCACTTGGTAAATCCAGACTGATATTTGTCTGGATTTTTATACAGAGGGATTTCAGTGTGGTCCCTCCATCGTCCAGTCAGATTTATTTATTTCAGTGGCGCAAGTGAAACAAAGAAGCTCATTGGTCACCATAATTTAGGACAAAACCAAACTTCTCTCAACTCAGATGAACAGTTTCGCGCTTCATTTATTAGTTCTGCTTAAATTCATATATTTCAGTCCTCTCTGATTGTTTTTTTATTGTATTTTTTTCCTTGCAAGCAGCAATATTTGTGGGTCCATGATTGGATATTCCACCTGTCAATCACGCGCATCTAAACTCTGGGAGATTCACCGGTGACAGGACTCAAAATGAATATTAGCCTCCAAAATTCCGGTGGTTCCCCAAAGAACATGACCGACACAAACCCATCACTCACCTCATATTGTGGCTCCGTATCTGCACAGGTCTCCTCAATCTTCTCACAGTCTCTGGTGATCTCCGGGACGAGCGAATCTCTGTGCCCTCCTGCGCTGCCTCGTCCTCCTCCACCTCCTCCTCCTCCACTTCCTCCAGACCTCCAGGGTGACCCGCCGCTGCCGGACCTCTCCAAACCCAGCCCGAGAGGCATAAGCTGGGGCGACCGGCAGCCAACGTCTCCCCCTCCTCCTCCGCCTCCTCCTCCTCCTATGGCTTCGTTGTGTATCTCCATGTCCAGTTCTCCCTCCATCTCCGCCTCCTCCTTGGCCTCCTTGTTGCTCTCCTCCAGATGTTTCATGAGGACGGCGATGACCACGTTGACCAGGACGAACTGGGCGGTCAGGACGAAGGAGACGAAGTAGATGGGGGAGACCACGGTGTTGTAGCAGGTGCTGGTGTCGTGGGCGCAGTCCCGGAGCGTGTCCTGGTTTAACATAAGAAAATGTCATTATTTTTTGCCAGATACAAATATATCAAAACCACTTTATTTAGTGAAATCAATGTTTAAAGTGGGACAAAATACCAAAACTCCAGCCATAACCACATCACGGCAGTCGAGTGTGATGTCACATAGTACTTAAAATTGCAGTGGCGATGTATTTGTATTCTCAAGATAATACAAATAATACATGTATATACATACACTCTTTTCATTCAGGTCTATGTCATTTTATTGTCATGTGGTGGTTTAACTGGTTCTTTGCTGACCAACTTTTTAAGAAAGTTTTTTGTTTTTTGTGTTTTGAGCAGAGGCGGGACCAAGTTGTTGTTTCGCAAGTCTCAAGTAAATCTCAAGTCTTTGACCTCAAGTCTGAGTCAAGTCCCAAGTCAAAGACAGGAAAGTCATGTCCAAGTCGTCTGCTTTGAGCTTCAAGTCATTTCAAGTCTTTAAACCAAAGTACCAAATATAGCTTTGGTTTTATAATTTATATGACTTTAAAGCTAAATTGTACTTAAAAATCATGGTATATTTATATATGATTATTTATATAAGAGTTGTAGAACAGTTAATTAAAACAGAAAGAATTAAGATTTAAAAGTGCTTAATATCAGTTATTTTGTCATGAAATGGAAGGCTCAGGTTCAGGTTCTGAGTAGTTTCCTCGATTATACTGTATATTACTGTAGTACTTTTGAGGATACTATATCACAGTACTTCAGTTACATCCAAAGTAACAAATAAAGAAATGGGAGGGACATGCTCCAGTTTGTTCGGTAAAATTAAGCACCTGTAAAGAGGAAAGTATTCATCAGCTATTCATCAACTATCAAGTCTTCTCAAGGCACAGGACTCAAGTCAAGTCTCAAGTCCTAAAAATAGTGCCTCAAGTCTGACTCGAGTCCAAATCACAACTTGCAAACCCCACCTCTGGTACTGAGTATCTAGTTTCAATACTAGCTTTAGTATTGATTAGTATCTGAATATGGGTTTTGTTTTGTGACAACAATATAATGTAATATAGTCCAGTGTTATGTTTTACCTTTTGCTTCTAATAAAGTATAACAGTAGACAATGCTTTTCAAACACCATATACATAGTTCAGTAGCAAAAAAAAAAAAAAAAAAAATAAAATATGTGATTTAGTGTGTTGCTCCATTTTAAAGATTAGAAAAAATGTGTTCCTTGGATGTAAATTGTACCTATCTTTTGTCTGGAAGTCAGAAGGCCAAACATTTTCTGAGGTGGTACTTTGAGTGAAAGGTTTAGTCAAGACCCCATGTTCATTTATAGTCATTTCAATAACAGTAATATCTTTCTTTAGTAATTCTATAGTCGTCCACTGTTGTCCCTGCTCACCGGGGTCAAATCACTTTCATCTAAGCAGTTTATCTACTCACTAATCGACTCATGTCAGCGTACATTTTGTTTTCCTGGTTTATATTAGTGTCATGTGATGTCAAGTACACAGATGCTGCAAAATTACTGTCATAAGCCATTAGACTAAACACACTATCAATCATAACACACATGCAGTTTGAATGTGGCCATCTGTCAGGGCCAAACTGTGCCAGACATGTTATGGAGATGCTACAGGGACATTAGCGGAGCAAAGTAGCCATATGGTAAGTACGCTGGTGCTTTTCAAACTGAGCTATAGTGAGAACCAGGAGAACCAGTCCATGACGAGAAATGAAATGATCAGGTCACGGTTTTGGGTTTTTAAAAAGTGCATTGGGTAAATTTTCTGGCGGAGGGTCCGTCAAATGCTTTTCTCCGTGGAGATGTTATTACTTTGTCTGGAATGTCTCACAGAATGGCATTAAATCGTTCTATCTTCATGGAAACCAAACCAGACCAAGTGACAGGTCAGATCTGTGGAGAGGCGACTCCGCTCACAGTCAGAATAACCTGAACCCTAATCCCTATTTTTCTCAGCATTTTAACCGCACTGTAAACCCAAACATAATTAAATAGATTAAGTTGTGTATACTCAGAGTTTTAGAAATAGTCCTTCTAACTTTATTCTGTCAAGTTGCTGTAACATGTTCTTCTTTTTGAGTAATTTTAACTAATATTTTTTGATTAAAAGGAACTATTTTGAGTAAGTGAGCATAATTTAAAAACATAGATGAGATACAACTTAGTAGAATTAAATAGTTTAAAAAAATTAAGTAATGTGTATAATGTACTATGTGTATACTAAAATGTGTAATGTATGTAAGTATGTGTGTATTATTAAACTATATACATATTATATAATATGGATTAGATTAGTAAATCCCCCTGACTTTCAAATGGGACATGGGTGACCTGGGTTAAAATCCTCCTCCTACAGTGTGTATAATCTAATATATGTATGATGTGTTTATATGTATATTATAATGTGTGTAGATACACCTACTATATATATATTGGATTGTGTGTACAATGTGTATACAAAAATCATGGATTACATATAAAATTGAAAATTATTTAAATTATTCCAGTGGTTTCAAAACTCTGACTGCAAATATTTGAGTTGAGCTAAATGAGCACTTTTAATTCAGCTGTTATCAAAAGATACAAGTAGTAAACCATCTAACATTTTAAGTTCTGGAAGATTGTGACTTTTAAGTTCATCAACTTAAAATAATTGAAGTAATCAATTGCCTCAGTTTGTTGCAGTTCTGGTAACTTATTCAGGTTTACAGTGTATAAAATCATCGGATTTCAAGGAATCTCCCAAAGAGCCATCTAAGATTTGGCTGAAAAAAAAATAAAACAATTTCTAAAATCACCAAATGAAAGAATGTCAAATTTTAGCTCAATCCCTTGAGTTGTTCCTGAGTTATGGCCTGTTGAAATTTTGGAGCCATGCTCACTTTTCCTGAAGCCTTAATTTATAAGCATGTTTGAGAGACCATAACTTCATAAAAAATAGAGCTAGAAAGCTGAAAATGTGTATTATTGTAGATTCTTGGTCATAGATTCTGAATCTGGTGTCAAATATTGGGTATATTTATTAAGGGGGGCACTGTGGGCCCCCAAAATCTCAAAAAGTGAGCATGGCCCCAAAATTTCATCGGGCCATAACTCTGGAGTGACTCGAGGGATTGAGCTAAAATTTGAGATTCTTTCATTTAGTATTTTAGAAATTTTTTGAAAAAATTTCAGCCAAATCTGAGATGGCTCATAGGGGAGGGCGGCTGATTTCACATGGACTGACCCACCTGTAACTGAATAAATGTAAGGCAGAGCTGTTTAATGTCACAGTGTGGAACATTCCATGCAGAGCAATGACACATCCATAGAAACATGGACCCCCAACCAAAAGTTACACAGTGCACCTTTAAGCTATACTCTTGTGTTTTTAACAGCATACTGTAAGCTGTGTTTTGTTTCATCTACCCGTGTTTGAGGAATCTTGCTAATTCGAGCTGGTTTTACTCATTTCAGTGCAAGCAGATGTTATTTTAAAGGAGACCTATTATGCAAAATGGACTTTTCAGAGCTTTTAATCATGTAATAGTTGTTTCCCCTTCTCATTTACCCTCCGGAAGTTGTTTTTGGAGTGATTCGTTCATATTGGAGTAATCTTTAATCACTTATTAGTACTAACTTCCTTCTACAATTAAATTTTTTCAATCAGTGATGCGTGTAGAATTCGGCAGCGTTGTGTAGTCATTTTGGTACAAATAAAAGAAAAAATCAGCGATGAAGAAAAACTGCAAGGACCCATTTTTAATCAAATTAAAACTTAAAATTAAACTTAGAAATGTTTGTGTTTGTGTTTTTTTGAGTGCGTATCATTTTATTAAATCATCTCAGAGGTATTTTGAGTTTATTCAATTACTTATTTTGTGCCACTGTGGAGCATTCCAAGCAAAACAAAAACATTTTCATGGAGACAAACAGATGACAGACAATCTACAAAAAGTTACATGATACAAATACAAATAATGAAGGAAAAAGGGGGTAATGAAAGAAAAGGAAAAGAAGGAGCTTTGCTTTATTGTGTTTTCCCTCTCGCCCTTACCCTCTTATATCTCTTCTGCTTTTTGTCGTCACCCCCTCTCAACCTTGACGTTTACACTCTCTGTATTAGTCAAAATGTCTAATGTCTTTTACTGTTACTCTAATATCTATCTAACACTTTAAATATTTCTTTTCCTATCATACCTTCATAATGCCGTTCCAGTTGTCCCCAGTGGAGACCCTGAAGAGCAGCAGGAAGGCCATGCCGAAGTTCTTGAAGGTGGCGTAGCGACCGAGGCCTTCACACGGGTGGAGCTCGTCACAGACTGTGGAGAAGAAATCAGCAGGTTACATTTAATGTTGGATTCTTTGGGATTAATAAAGTATTGTTTGTGTTTGGTAGCACGGCAACACCTAACCAAACGTTTAAAAGATGTTGAGGTAATCCTGCGTCTTCAGAGCACGCTTGGTGTCACTTCATAATGTCATATATATGTTTAAATATGTTACATGTGTGCTATGTAACTTTCTGTTTGACGGTACGTCACTTTCTTTTTAATAGATATGTCATTGCTCTGCCTGGAATGTTCCACAGTGTGACTTTAAACAGCTCTACCTTACATTTATTCAATTACAGGTGGTTTTATAGCTCAAACATACCTAGAAAAACAAACATTCAGACTCTGAGCAGGGTTGCCACTCCACAGATCTGACCTGTAATTTGGTCTGGTTTGGTCTCCGTGCAGATGGAAAGGTTTAATGCCATACTGTGATGCATTTCAGACAAAGCAATAATATCTCCATGGAGAAAAGCGTTTGATGGACCCTCAACCAGAAAAGTTGCACAATGCACCTTTATTCAGTGTTAGTGTTGGTGAAATACTAAAATTCTCACATGCACTAAATTTCATTCTCAATTTTGAAAGAAAAAAACACTAAACTCTTGATACTGATCGAATTTATGTATATTTATGTATTAGGAACTAGGTCATTTAATGGCACACTGTGAAACTTTTCTGGTAGAGGACTTGTCTCCATGGAGATGTTATTGCTTTAACTCCAGTATTCCAAGATATAGCATTAAACTTTTCAATCTCCATAGAAGTAGGCAGAAGACGTCACCAGGCCACTTTACAGGTGAGATCTGTGAAGAGGCGACCCCACTCACAATAAGAATGCATGTTTTTAAGTGTATTTTTGAGCAATAAAAACACCCAGAATTGAAGAAATGCATCTTATATTAGTGTAACACCACACTGTGGAACATTACAGACAAAGTAATAGCATCTCCATGGTGAGGAGCCCCAACCTGAAAAGTTATGCAGTGCACATTTAAACTTTTTTTGAAGGCAACCTAAACTATTCAGTAACGTTGACTTTCGTCATTTTTCCAGCGTAAATAAACGTCCAGTTTTGGTATTCGTGTCAGTCTCTATTAGTATCTACACAGCAAAAACTGGATGGTTAAAATTTCAGGGTAAAATCATTCAAAAGTTGTTTTTAACACAAAAAGCGTTATTTTAACTATTTGAACGTTAAATGGGGATTTGAGTTGCGGTTATTTTACAGAGTTGATATGGCTGAAGTAAATTCATCTTCAACTAGTGTTAATTCAACTTCCTCTAGAGTTAATTCAACTTCCCCTAGAGTTAATTCAACTTCCCCTAGAGTTAATTCAACTTCCCTTCGTGTTAATTTATCTTCCCTTAGTGTTAATTCAACTTCTCTTGGTGTTAATTTGCCACCTCCCAACACTTCAAACTCCCGTGTTCAAGACCAGTTTGAACCAGTTTTGTACAGAATTTCATCTTTTATATTGTTTTAAAGAAAATAAAAGTTTTACATGCACTCAATGTGTGTGTGTGTGTGTTTTTTTTTTTTAAGTGTACCTTAATTTACACTTGTACACAGTTGTAGTTACTTCTCCCCAAAATAAAGTGTAAAAATAAAACATATCTCTGTGTCTTGTTTTGCTAAATCAGGATAACCCTACAAAATGTTATCCATTTACTCTCAAAACATTAATATAACTCTTGATTTGGGGGTTAAACAGGAACTTGGTCCAGAGTTACTTAAATAACATTTCCAAAAACATTAAATTATCTCTAGAACAGATTCGACACAATGTTAAAATCAACTCTGTGAGACTCAGTTTCAACAATTCACTTTTTGCTGTGTAGGTACTGATTTTGTACAACCCTAAAATTGCCTCATTCCAATCATTATTTCTTTGTTCAAATTGCATAACGGGTTTTTTTGTTTGAAAGAAAAACTCTCAAAAACGCCTAAATATATGAAGTTTTGGATGTGACGAAGAGACAACATTAAAACAAAGATTAGAAAGTAGTGTTCTCTGGCCCCTTTAAAAGAAAAAAAATGTGTCCAAACTTTCGACAGTGTACACAGTATATTAGTCAGTACACGATCTATTTAAAACGCAGTACTTCTTTCTTGCTCACTGTTGCGTAACGGTGGCACTTTGAACCAAACTGGAGCATGCTTACTCAAGTCCCCGAACAGCTCCACTCCCAGCGCCGCGAAGATGAAGAAGAGGAGCATAAAGAGGAGTCCCAGATTCCCCACCTGCAACACACAACACACGCGAGTCAGAAAGATCAAATGCACACACCATATTTATATAAAAGGGTCAGAAGTGGGAAAACCGGCAAAAAAAGACAAGAACATCTAAAACATGTTAACTTTTTTTGTAGAATGTCAGATTTTTAAAAAGTGCATTGTGTAACTTTTCTGGTGGAGGGTCCGTCAAACGGTTTTCTCCATGTTATTGCTTTGTGCGGAATGTTTCACAGTATGGCTTTAAACCTTTCTAACTTCATGGAGATGAAACTAGACCAAGTTACAGGTCAGATCTGTGGAGAGACGACCCCACTCACAGTCAGAATATCAGTTTTTCGAGGTGTTTTTGAGCTATAAAACCACCTGTAACTGAATAAATGTAAGGTAGAGCTGTTTAATGTCATACTGTGGAACATTACAGGCAGAGCAATGACATCTCCATAGAAACAACCATGTGACAACAAGCAGGACCTCCAACCAAAAAGTTACATAATGTACGTTTAACTTAAAATACATTAGGCACTGAGTGGACATTAAAAATACAGCCAAATGAAAGTATAAGTTAAAAACAGCAGATGCTCATACAGGATCCCATAGGCATACAGTATTTAAAGCCAAAGTATGTAACTTTTTAGTCACAAATAGACTAAAATGAAAGTAAAATAAATGCTTTGTTTTGTTTGTTGTATTGTTTCGTTTTTATTATACCGAAAAACTTGCTTCCTTAGGGGTATGTGGGCTTGCATTTCCACAAACCTGACTCTTACTTGGACTAGTGCAGGGGTGGGCAAACTACGACCCAGGGGTCATATGCGGCCCTTTAAACCTTTTAATCCGGCCCGCCAAACTGGAATAAATTACAATAATAAACCTTGTTGTTTTATTTTTCATGCATTTCCGGCGTTTCCCAGTAAATGGCGCACTATATATATATATATATATATATATATATATATATATATATATACACATATATACATATATATATATATACATACATATACATATATATATATATATATAATATATATATATATATATATATATATATATATATATATATATATATATATATATATATATATATATATATACATTGAGGTGCGGCATATTTTGTTGGCCACAATGCTTTATGGGAAAGAGTTCTCACAGGAGTTATTCGGACCATGAGTGAAGTAGTGGTGTTCAAGAAATAACTTTGCACTGCTGCCATTTTGAGCTGGTAAAACTCAAACACAAGAACTTCTTGAGAGTCTTGTTGAATAACATGTGACTTCGTGGAGTTGGTTCTATTTCTTAGTAAAACCTAATTCCTTGCAAGTCTCCTTCGTCTGTGCTGCATAGTGGAGTGGATCTGTTGATTTATGTGTATTCTGGATATTTCGTGGCAATATTGTAGTGCGCTTCCTACGTAAGCGTAAATACGATTATAATTGCAGCTGAGCTCTTAACACGTCATGTCGTGTGTCCTGTCCGGCCCTTCAGGCAAATTTTAGGACCCTATGTGGCCCGTGAGCCAAAAAGTTTGCCCACCCCTGGACTAGTGCCTCAGTTCAATTTAATTTCTCTCCAGCGACTAGGTCAGGAATCAGAATACACTCGAAGAACCCCGAAGTGTGAGTCCGGGCACCAGTCAATCAGCAAAGAGCCATATATCCTGTGTTCTGTGTCCGAATGTCCACCCTAGCCCCTAACCCCTCATTCACTACATTGTTCTGCACTCATTAGCGCCCTCTACAGTGCACTCACTCACAGAGAGATTTGGACACACATTTCACTACATTTAGATTACTTGATTCTCTCGTCTACGTGGAAAAAGTCAGATAAACTCTGATAAAACCTGTGGTAAATCATGATCAGATCAGATTGACACAAGTGTTTATGGACTAATAATAATCATATGAGTTTTTGTCACAGTAGATTTCACATAAACAGACTGGATTATTTGCTTTTTGTTTGAAATGTGGAAATTATCGATCTATTAATGCCAGCACCTTTACAACATAAGGCTTTATTTAAGAGTGTTTGATTCAGAATCAGGATCAACAGAGCCATGAACCAGTGCTTTTATCTGTTTTTATTTAGTGGGGTTGTGTTCAGTTTAACACCTGTCGCTGTACACCGCTGTTTTTCTGACGCTCGCAATGCATTGTGGTCTATATTGACCGCTCTAGAGACTGCTAATGCCCACTACTTTTCAAGGTGCACTGTGGGAAATTTTGAGTGCACTACTTTTTCACCAACTGGACATTCATTCGGACACCACTAAAAATAGCATGACCCCTAAACAGTGCAGTAAGTAGGGAATAGAGTGAACATTCACCAAGCCCAAGAGCACATGTGTGTCCTGTTCCTGTGAGTTCTATAGCATTTTATAATTTCACGTTTGCAATTTCAAGTTATATTGTGACTCATATATCGATATTGTCAAGATGCTGCCTGGTTTGAGGTTAAACTTCAAATTCTATGGCATCAGAAATGCCATATCCAATGGCTGCTAGCTACAGCATTAATACTTAACATTTTCTTTTTCGGTCTCCACTACTGCTGAGATTAATGATGGCGGTTCAAAAGGAAAGATATATGAAAGACTGTTGCAACACCTCTCCCCCCGAACACTGCCGAATCCGCTTCAATTTGACAACGCGTAACCGACTTCTGAAATCCACCCACCAGCCTTCAAAAACAAAACCTGCAGATAGACTCCCGCTCTCAACTCCGCAGGGGCTCCGGTTATGCAAACACCGGTCCCCAGAGTTAGAGGGGCCCTCCTGGGAGCCAACAACAGCCCGGACCAGCCGAACATTTTGCAGGAGAAGGACGAGATGTAGATTATCATGACAGTCTGGGAAGGGAGTGACATTATAAAGGATTTTGCATTATAATGGATTTTATCCCCCCTGGAATAATTATACCCTGACATAAATAGCACTTAAAGGTGCACTGCATAACTTTTCTTCTTTGTAAGGGTCTGCCACATGCATCTCCATGACGATCATATTGCTTTGCCTTTGAAACGTTTTACAGCATTGCGTTAAAATGGTGTGATTTTTTTTTTTCCATGTAGTTGAGCAAAATACTGGTCTTGTTATTGTCCGAAAATCTGGAAATGCACTCTTAGCATGCTATTTAAGCCAAACTCTTCTCTGGTCTCTGAGACTTGTGAAAAACACTTATAAACTCATCGTGGTGAGTAATTAGGTTGCTCAGAATGCATAAGGTAAGTGAGGAAGAACTTTGGACCATTGCAAACTATTTAAAATGAACTAGTTCTATTTTTCACGTTTTTAAAAATGTAAAATCGAAGTACAGCAGCTTTAAAATGTTCTTATTTCATATACAGTCTAACAGCGATGGCTTCCTTCTCTACAGATCTGACCTGTAACTTGTGAAAGTGGCCAGGTAGTGTAGTATGTTTGTGTCCTTGTGAGATAGATAAACTTAATGCCATGCTGTGGAACATTCTAGGCAAACCAATAAATCTCCATGGAGACAAGCAGGTGGCAGACCCTCCACTAGAAATGTCACAATAGCACAAATTGAATTTAACCGCTCTGCCAAAATACAAATCAAGAATGTAAACCATCGTAGGAATAATGTTTAGCGTGTTTCAGAGTTTAAACGGTGCAAAGACTAATTGAATCTTCACACCTAGAAGCATTAACGCTGGAGCACTCAGCCCTGTCTTCTTGTTCTTTCTACTTCACCTCTTATGTCTTCATCACTTAATCAGATAGATTTCGTTTACCTGTGCTCAGTTCATTGCTATTCTCGAGCTGTCCCTTTCTCACTCTTATTGAACTCACGTAGACTTTGCTATTTGTTGCCGTCCTGCCTAGATGGCTCCTTCTCGTGACTTGAGAACTCCCTGACCTCTTCACCTGCCGATACGACAATGTACATGACAGCTTCACCTGCCGGGATGACTCTCTCACTGCTTCACCTGCTTGCCCGATTTCTCAATTCCTTTTAGTTTCTTGGATCACTCCCTCGCCTCTTCACCCTTTCATGACTTCCTCACCTCCTCAACTGCCTTGGTGACTTTCTTAACTGACAGGTTGACTCCCTCTGTCACCTGCCAGAATGACTCCCTCAACCCCTTTCCCCCTTCATCAGCCTGAAAAACTTCCTCACCACTAGATGATTCCTTCGCCTGTGATGATGACTCCCTCATAAGGTGTAAGATTAAGGTCTGCTTTACTTTTTATTCGACCCATCCTTCAGTGTTGTTGGGGAAACCTGTCAGGAGCAGTGAGCTGCTGCTGTACAGTGGACCCGCTTCAAAATCTTGAGCTTGGTCAGGACTATCTTAGCTGGAGGATTTGACCTTGATGAAGGGAGAAACATGCAAACCACACACAGAAATACCCGGGAGTCAAAACTGGACCTTGCTGTGAATACTAGTCACTCAGCAACCTGCCAAGACGACCCTCTTACCCCTTGGGGTCCATCGCCTATTCCGACATGCCTCTATTTAGACATACCGGTCTTCCGACACTTTTTAGTATCACTATTTTGAGACGTTTTTTTTTTTTTCCAGAGCTGAGATAGTCTACCCGGGCACGTTTCTCTCTGTTCTTCACACAAAACCAACACACACAGTAGCCAACTTAAATGAAATTTCACTACATGTCATACTTACATACCGTATTTTTTGGACTATAAGGCAGACTTAAGGTCATTTAAATTTTCTCCAAAATTGATAGTGCACCTTATAATCTGGTGCACCTTATGTATTAATTCTGGTTGTGTTTACTGACCTCGAACTGATTTTATGTGGTACACAGCACTCAAAAATCTGTCAAAATGTTTTGGCATGACTTTGGTAAACTACAAAGACGCACATATACCACTGAGTCGTGTCCTTTAGTCTGACAGAAGCTGAGCACATCAGCGGCACAAGGAGTTGTTTTTTTCAGTGCTTGTGGTCTATGCAAATGAGCCATGTGGTTTTAAGTTTCGTTTCTGTAAAACGTAAACAAATGTGCACAAAGCTGCATTAAACACATTATTACTCAGTGTATATTTGAGTCGTCCTTGTAGGAAATAAAAACACAAACATAAATGATCCACCCACATTCACATTAACGGGCGAATTACATCATGATCTGCCGATGAATCGTGGATGCCTGGGCTAAGGGATCAGTCTCAAGTGTCATCCATTTGTTTCACTTAATGCGCCTTATAATCCGGTGCGACTTATGAAAATAGATGAGAGAATTCAACATTATTGATATTGTGCCTTATAATCCGGTGCGACTTATGAAAATAGATGAGAGAATTCAACATTATTGATATTGTGCCTTATAATCCGGTGCACCTTATAGTTCGAAAAATATGGTACATAAACATCCTTGTGTCCTTGTTGTATCCTCGTACTTTACTATCGCTATGCACCGGCCCAAGCATCTTATGATATTCAGGAGCACAAAGCATAATAACATATTATTATTATTATTATTATTCATGTCGGACAAGCGGAATGTTTGAAAAACAGTAAAGTGCCACTACTCCGACAATGGAAAAAAAAAAAAAAAAAGTCGAAGTAATGGGATGCTTGAAAAATAATGTTTATGCCGCTACTCTTACAATTAGACGTCAATGTGTAAATAGCGGCATGTTGGAATACCTTACTCCTTCACCTGTCTGTATGACCACTTGCATTTTTGGCCAAAACGAATCACTGGTATGTTGTTCGGGGAAAAGTGTGATATCGTACCAGAAGACTTTAACCACTTTAAAAACCCATGCAGTATTTACACCTCAAGGCAATAATGTTGGAGCACTGAGCCTTATCCTCTAGGCCTTTCTACTTCACCTCTTGTGTCTTCATTAATTAATCAGCTAGACTTAGTTTACCTGCGCTCGGGTCATTGCTATTCTCAGGTTGTGCCTCTCTTTCACTCTCATTGAGCTCATGGAAACATTTTTGCAGTACTGGCCGATAGCCCGTACACAGGGACTGGTTCAAAGCTTTGACTCGGTTTCTTGTTCACCTGCCTGGATGACTCCCTCACAGAGTTTAGATTCTTGGCTCGAGTCTTAACCCAGTCTAATCCCAACGCGCCCGCTGTGTTGTGGGGTTGGGCCGGGCTCGGGTCCAGGATTATCATGTTTTCCTCTGTTGTTGCATATGCTCTCTGTGGATGATTGATCGATTTTTTCTCTCAAGGCAAGATTTCTAGCTCCAGAGTAAATGAAGTGGTGAAATATGCAACGTAAAATATGCAGGAGAAGCTATATGAATGAAAGTGCATGGTGGTTATATGGAGGAAGGAGAAGAGGTGAGAGATGTGGGTGCCCTCCCACTTGAAGTTTTGTCAGCCCACTGAAACTCTGCAAAGAATCTAAAAAAGTTCCATAACAGAACTCAGGTTGTATGAGTGTACGGGTACAGGTCAGGTTGTGTCAAGACATAAAGAAAATGATTCAGAGCTGGGTTAGCTCGGGACAGTATACGGGCTAGTTTTGGGCCCAGCACCCTGTCACCTCCCGGGATGACTCCCTTTTGTCCCTGGTTTCAACTTACTACTTAAAGATGACATTTTGAGAACTTTTATCACTCAGAAACAAAATATGTTGTTTTGAATGTTAATTGCTACAGTAAAAACTCAACTCTGAAGTGTCAGGTATACACTACCAGTCAAAAGTTTGGACATATCCTCGTGTTTTGTGTTTTTTTCATACATACAGAGGACATCAAATATATGGATATACCTATGGTCATGAACTCTTGGTAATGACCGAAAGGACAAGATCGTGGATACAAGCGGCTGAAATGAGCTTCCTCTGCAGGGTGGCTGGGCGCTCCCTTAGAGACAGGGTGAGGAGCTCAGCCACACGGGAGGAGCTCGGAGTAGAGCTGCTGCTCCTCCATATCGAGAGGAGCCAGCTGAGGCTGGGGCATCTGTTCTGAATGCCTCCTTCTGGGCATGTCCCACCAGGAGGAGGCCCAGGATACTCTGAAGGGACTATGTTTCTTGGCTAGCCTCGGCTAGTCTTGGGGTCCCCCCGAAGGAGATGGAGGAATTGGGTGAAGGAAGTCTGGGAGTCCCTGCTTAGACTGCTGCCCCCGTGACCTGGCCCCAGATAAGCGGAAGATGGATGGATCAAATATAGGAAGTAGTATGGAATTATGTAACAAAGAAAAAGGTAATTTACTATTTTATTTTATTTTTTCCTTTTTTTGTTTTTCCCAAAGTAGACAATGTTTAGTGCGGCTGATGCCACTTAGTGCCTCCGCTCAATTTCATTTCTCTCCAGCGACTAAGGTCAGGAATCAGAATACACTAGACGGTTTGCAAGAACCTCAGAAGTGCGAGTTCGGGCACCAGCCAATCAGCGAAGTGCCATACGTTCTGTGTTGTCAACGAGTCCCGAGATCGAGGATTTAAAGCCGGAACAAAGAGAATGTTTGGTGGATTTCATCAAGGGGAAAGACGTTATTGTCCTTCTTCCTACGGGATTTGGAAAAAGGTTAATATACCAGTTAGCCCCGTTAGCGGCACATTAAATACATCACGACAAAATAGCAGCGATTGTTTAAACAAAAACAGTATCCGCTTACCATCAAGCAAACAAATCCTAATGCTGCGAGGTCAGATGGTTTCCACAAAGTGAAACCGGCTGATGAATAGATTTGCTAGGTATAAAAATATTTAGAAGAGTGAGTCAACTTTTTCTTCTACCACATAATTCCATATTTCTATATCTGATGTCTCCCGTAGGTATCTAAAATGTCGAAAGTAGTAAAAATAAAGACAACTTTCCAAACTTTTGACTGGTAGTGTGCCTTTTGATGCCGTGATCTGAACATAGCATTAAACAACTGCTGTAGAAACACTGAGCAAAACAAATGAAGTTGAGATAAAGGTACGAACCTGAGGCAGAGCTTGCATAACAGTGTCCAGCAAGGCCCTCATCCCGACGGCCATTTTGAGCAGCTTCAGCACTGTGGGACACAAACACAAAACGCACAAATGTTTAGAACAGAACTGTGACAAAAGAGACCTTGAAGTGTGGCTAATGTGTGTGTGCTAAAACGAGGACTGAACCAGGACTGAACCAGGACTGAACCACGATTAAACCAGGACTGAATCAGAACTGAACCAGGACTAAACCAGAATTGAACAAGGAGTAACTTGAGGACCGAACCCAGGTCTGAACCAAGTCTAAACCAGGACTAAACCAGGACTGAGCCAGAACTGAACTAGAACTAAACCAGGACTAGACAGAGGACTAAACCGAGGACTGAACCAGAACTGAACCCAGGTCTAAACCAGGACTAAACCGAGGACTGTACCCATGTCTAAACCAGGACTGGACCAGGTCTAAACCAGGACTAAACCGAGAACTGAATGCAGGTCTAAACCAGGACTAAACCAGGACTAAACCAGAACTGAACTAGAACTCAACCAGGACTAGACTGAGGACTAAACCAAGACTGAACCAGTACTGAACAGGAACTGAACCAGGTCTAAACTAGGACCAAACCAGGACTGAACTGAGAACTGAACCCAGGACTGAACCAGGACTGAATCAACCAGGACTACACAGGACTAAACCAGTATTGAACCAGGTCTAAACCAGGCCTAACCAGAACTGAACCAGGACTGAACCAGGACTGAATCAACCAGGACTAAACCAGGACTGAACCAGGTCTAAACCAGGCCTAACCAGAACTGAACCAGGACTGAACTAGGTCTAAACCAGGTCTAAACCAGGTCTAAACCAGGACTAAACCAGGACTAAACCACGACTGAACCAGGTCTAAACCAGGACTGACCCTGGACTGAACCAGGCTTAAACCAAGACTGTATAAACCTTATAAACCTTTTAAACCTCACTAAACTACAGCTGCTCTCCTTTTTTCTTCTTCTCTCCTTCATCAGCAGCTTCTTCATGACTTCATTGCTATTTTCAGGTGAGGCGTATCCATCACGGCCGCCGCTCTTCTCTCTGATCATTTATTCCTGGCTCGGTCCACTTTGTCACGGGTCTAGTTCACTCAGTGTCAACCTCTTCCTTGTTCTGATCATTTTTTCCACCAATATTTTCCATCAAAGGTTCAACTTGATTCAAAATTATTCCAGATTGTGGGACTATTTTGATTCTAGGGTGTTTCGTTTCACCTAAATTTCTGATTGGAAATAAGAGTGAAGTTTATAAAGCACATTTTAAAGTTAATTTTACTAAAACACAGTTAGGCTCGTCACATTTAAAGGTTTTACGACGTCACTGTTTCCTAGCGACCATGTCATACACTGGGCTAAAACTCATATAATAATTCCTGTGAACATTAGGTGACAAATAAAAATATAAGAAAATAGCTTTAATTTGTTGAAATCCTGTTTAAAGTTTGGAAAAAAAATGTTTCTTGCTTAAACTGTGCTGAACCTTTGGACAGAATTCTCCCTGGTGTGAAAATAGAACTCTACTTCCTCTAATTTTCTGCATATTTTTTCACCTTTTCCTGACAAATTGTTTCTTGACTGGTGTAAAACTATCATTTATATCTACAACAAGTTCTATCCAACCATTTTGGGTCAAAATTGGAAACTCATCCAAACCTGTAATGTTAAAAATGCACTGTGCAACTTTTCTGGGTAAGAGTCCGTTACCTTCCATATTTTCTGCACTATAGGGCGCACTTAAAAGCCTTTAATTTAATCAAAAAACGACTGCGCGCCTTATAATCCAGAGCGCCTTATATATGAATTTATTTGAGTGTTTTAGTTCGACTTTAGTAAACTACAAAGCCGCACCACTTGCAGCATTACAGCTCCCGTAATCAGGAGCATCAGGAGTAATACATACTGTGATTCCTTTTAATATCAAAATGCACCTGTCAAGAGACACGCTTACAACGCCGACTTTAAACTCAAGGCTGTTATAAAGTGAAAGTGTGAGCTGTGTGGGAGCAGTGGATGAGAGAAGGAGAACACACATTCACCAAGACAGAGAGACAACGCCGATCTGCTGATGGATCGTGGACGCCTGGGCTAAGGATCAGTATCAACTGTGGTCCGAACTTTCACCAAGACCAAAATCATCACTGAACTGCCAGGGAACAGTAACCACACTGACTCGGATCACGACGAGAGGGATGTGGGCGTGCTGGACTCCGTAATCACCCAACTGTTTGAACAATTATGAGTTATGTGTGAAGAATCCCTCAGTCGTCCAGGTAGAATCCATGAGGAGAAAATTCAGTTTGTCGACTGGACAAAAGCAGCTTGGATGAGCTGTGAAATGTCTTCCACCAAACTAACTTTTGTCCAGTCGACAAACTGAATTTTCTCCTCATCAATTATGAGTTATTGTGAATATGCTAACAATTTAGCGCTCTCATACAGTATTTTTACGTGTTACAATTGAACAAAGTTGAGAGTTATTGTAAACGCGTTAAATAAAGTTTGACTGACTTATCTAACTGCTGTGTTTCATTTAATATCACTTATAGTAGTCCGGTGCGGTTTATATGTGAAAAAAGTTTGAAAATAGACCATTCAATGACAGTGCGTCTTATAATCCAGAGCGCCCTATAGTGCAGAAAATACGGTAATTTGTCTCCAAGAAGATGTTTGTGCTTTACCTGGAATGTTCCATAGTATGCCTTTAAACATATACATATAGCATTTATTCATTACAGGCATTTCTGTTGCTCAAAAACACAATCATTCTACAATCGTCTCCCTCGTGATAGTTTTAATCTATACTGTGAAACATTCTAGACAAAGCAAGCAAAACAAATCTTGTATATCTAAACCAGTCCGAACAAAAAGGTAGTAAGGTAGTATTATGTGAGACCTCGTGCGATCCTCAGCACCCTCATGATCCTGATGATGGTGGGGTTGATGGGCAGAGACGCGTTCACCTCGATCTCCTCCAGCGTGATGCCCATGATGGACAGCAGCACGATGGCCAGGTCCAGCTGGTTCCACCTGCAAACAACAAAACAACAAAACAACACTGCAGTCAAGAATATGCACTTTACAGCTGCTGTCATGAACATTCCCTGGAGGTGTGATCTCAGCTGTACGCACTGCTCTTTATTTGATTTTCTCAATCACTGATATATTATTACACATATTATTACACTGGCGTAGGTATGAAAAAAAAATATAAAATCACTGCTCGCTAGCGTGATGTGCAGATATCCATGTGCAGATGAGTTGCCGGTGTTATGGATCTGGCGGTGGTGATATGTCAACATGGGCCGTTGTGGGCGTGGCCTTGCAAGGACCCAGCTTTAATAAACCTAATATTTGGTTTTAAACGCGGTATCCATGTTTATTTTGAGTGAGTTTCACAATATTAAATCACCCCAGAGGTACATATGAGGTAAAACAGGCATGTCAGCTCGTTTGAGTGTGAATGCGATAAGTGTGTTGCTCCAGACTGATCACGGCCCGTTTGCCTTAACTCCAATGCAGACACAATATACTCTTTGTGAGTCGCAGACAGTGTTGGGGAGTAACGGATCACATGTACTGGAGTTACGTAATCAGAGTACAAATTATGAGTAACTGTATTCCGTTACAGTTACTGTTTCAATGAGTGGTAATTGGATTACAGTTACTTTGCTGAAATAAGTGGATTACAAGGCGGTATTTTCCTGTTTTCACATTTTGTGCTACATCCCATTTATTTATTTTTTTATTTCGGTAATTCCACTCATTGCCGGAAACCCAAACAGAACGCGACAGTAAGAGCGATGGAAACGTCATGTTAAAGTTGGCGGTGTCAGTCACACAAGTGGAAGCAGCAGTGCATTTGTATCTTGGAAATTCTTCTCCCGTCTTTTATCAAACAAAACCTCTTATATTAAGATATCATGGTCTTTGTTTCTCTACAGCAAACAGTTGCTTATTCATGGAGACTTGGGCTCAGACAATTTGAAGACAACAAACTTCAGAATTTCAGGATGCGGTTGCTACATTTTCAGGATCAAGTAATGGTACGTTACTCATTTTAAGTAATTTAATGGATTACGTTACAAACTACATTCTGGGGTGTGTAATCTGTAATCTGTAGGGGAATACATTTTAAAAGTCACCTTCCCAACACTGGTCACAGACAGATGTCTTTCACTGCTTTTCTTTAGTGCAGGCGAGTATGCAAATTCACATCTCCACTTCAGACAGGGCAGAAAGGAAGCCACAGAAGAATGTTTACATTTTATTTAGACAGTGCCCCCCAGAGGCCCTGGGACAGGTGTCTGCGCAGATGCCTGTGTGTCTGTGTGCAGAGAAGCGGCTTTCTGTGGCATTCTCGGTATGAGCCATTAACACACCAGCCCCAACAAATCTGTAACACCGACTTTGAGTCGTGATGATGTTTACGGCCTCGTCAGTTCCTATTGAGCACTGCATCTTTGGTTTTAGATGATTACTGTGATTGAAAATGTGTAAAAAATAATATAATGATCCACGGGTGTTGTACATTTTAACTGTTATAACAAGCTCAAGCACAATCTGTGATATTTAAAGGTCTAATATTATACAAAACTGACACCTGTGAGCTTTACTGTTGTTACCTCCTCAAAAACAGACCTGGAGTTGTGTTTTGTTTCATTCACACATGTCTGATGTGTGATTAGTAATCTGTCTACATCTCCAAAGCTCAAAATGCTCTGTTCCATCTTGTGATGTCATGAGGAGGTAGTATTCAAGTTAACAGCCACATTTTACCTTTTGTTTCATACAGATTGGCAATTCTGGAGCTGAAATCATCCTAATGACTCTAGTGAAGGTGTGTGGAGTTTAAAAACACAGTGGAGCACTTCCTGTATTACCACATGACTGTTCAGTTTGAGAGAAGAAATGCTAAATCTGCGGTGTTTGTGTGTTAAACGTGCACGAATGAAACAAAACACACCTCCAGGTCTGTTTGTGACGAGGAAACAACATTAAAACACAGAATATAGAAAATACATGAGTACGTCTTCTGTTTTACGTCTTATGGGGCAGAGTAAAAAGTCGGGACAGTACTATTTACTCTTAAGGGTATCATAAATATTCATACGCCGTGATAGGGTTGGGTACTTGTATTTTTTCCCACACAACTCAACAGCGATCAAAGAGCAAGCCTGACTGAAGTTTCCAGTTCTGTGCAATAAAAACAGAAACATGTTTTTGGGAAAATACTTGTGTTAAAGTCTGATGGAGAGGGATTGGAGAAAGCATGGGTGGTCACTCGGATTCAGGCGGTTGTTATTTGCTGTGTCTGTGGGCAAGACACTTTCACATCTTGCCTGTTTTAATACTGCATGTGCGAAAGTGTTAGGAGTGATCGGAGGGGTTGTAAGGACATTTTGGTCACCACTAGGGTTGTCAAAAGTATCGAAAAATGCATGGAAATCGATATTTAAACTGATATCGAAACTAGATACTCATTTGAGATGGTATTGATACTAAAAAGTCACATTTGCAGGATGGGAATGAACCTTTTCTGAATAGCTTTAGAATCAAAGTATCAGAAAGTATAAAAGCACACAACGGACGATGGGGGAATGTAACAAAGTAAAAGTAGTAAAGTACTGTACTTTAGTATACATTTTAGGGATGTGTACTTTACGTAGGTGGATTTTAACGTGGATACTTTTTACTTTACTTCACATATTTGAGAGCAGGTGTTTTTACTTTCTACTTCACTACATTTTTCAACAGGACTTAAAAGTAAAAGTATTTTTATTGAACTGAAAAGGTTGAGGGGTTAGTTTTATTAAGCAAATAAAAATATACAAATAAAACCAGCTTAAAAAAATGATTAAATTGTTTCTACTGAACAAAATTGCACAAATCAGTAGCAAAAAACATTAACATTTTAAGCCTTATAAGACCTTAAAATCTGTACAAAACACTTTTACTTTTTACTTTTTAAGGGCATTTTTAAACGGGTACTTTAATAATTTTGCTTAAGTAGATTATTATATTTTTTTTTGCTTTTGCTCTTGCTCTGGTATCTGTACTTTTACTTAAGTAACAAAATCAAGTACTTCTTCCACCACTGCCCATGGACCACTGAGGGATTACACAGATATAAGGCCACATGGTGATAGAAGAAAGTAGAAAGTTCTATGATTTACTGTTGGAAATCACATTCTTCTGTTTTTGGTTGAAATTTTGCACAAATCTGTATCAAAACCACTACATTAGACCTCAGAATCTGCACAAAATACTGTTACTTTTTACTCTTTAAGTACGATTTTAAACGGGTACTTGAGTGATACGTTTACTTTTACTGGAGTAAGTTTATTTTTATTTATTTATTTATTTATTTGCTCTGGTTTTTACGCTTTTACTTAAGTAACCACATCGAGTACTTCATCCACTGCTGCAGAAGGACCACTATGGAACCTATCTGGACCACTGAGGAACTACACAGATATAAAACCACATGGAAATATGAAAGAAAGTACTACTCCAAAGTAAGATGCTGAAAATCACATTGTACTGTTTTTATGATCAAATCAAGGTTTAAATTTGATTATGATCAAATACCTAATTATCATCATGAGAAAATAGGTTACAGACTAGAAAACAAATAAGTACACTGAAGCAATTCAAACTACCAGGAATCATGTTGTACAATAAAGTGTGTGTATTTTGTTGTGGATAATTTAACACATTCTTTTCCACATTAATTGGTAGTTTTCAGATTCGAGAATGTGATGATGCCATACTTCCAGATGGGGTGAGAGACTACGTTGTATTTTGCCATAAAAAATCAAAAATTCACAAATATTGAAGCTGATCATTTGTATTAGAGACTAGACCCAAGAACTTGCTGTATTATAACAATCTGTATTTGAACAATTTTCATTTTAGCTGCTCCAATCTTTATTAAAGCTCCTATATTACACTAAACTGACTCTTGTGACCTTTAAGTCATGTTATAATGTTACTATCTCCCCAAAAACAAACCTGGAGTTGTGTTTTGCTTCATTCACACATCTGTCTACATCTCCACCAAAGCTCAAAATGTTTTGTTCCGCCTTGACGTGAAGTGTTATTTTTCAAGGTAACAGCTACATTTTACGTTTAATTTAATAGCGATTCGGTAATTCCTGGACTGACCCACTGATGAATGCTGTTGTTGTGTCCTTGGGCAAGACACTTAACCCGCATACACTGGTGTGTGAATGGGTGAGTGGTTCCTTGTGGTAAAGCACTTTGGATGCATTGAAGGTGGAAAAGCGCTATATAAAAATGTGACTATATTTATTTAGTGCTTAGAGTTTAGAAACGCAGTGGAGCACTTCCTGTATTAAAGAGCATGCCTAAATATGGGTTAGTGTGTTAAACATGTGTGAATGAAACAAAACACAACTCCGGGTATGTTGTGATGAGGAAACAATATCAGAACGCAGATAAGAAAACAGTGTAATATGGGACCTTTGCCCTGCAGTATGCGGTGATATCATCTGAAACTCAGCAATACAAGCGTTAATAACGTTAGCCCAAATTGGCATCCTTTTTTGGTTAATTTGCAATTTAAAACTCTATAAAGCAATTATAGAATTGTATAAAATTGCAACTGTACAGAATATACAATTGTGAGTGATGGAAGTCACCCTGCTCACACTCTGTTCAGCCTACAGGAGCCTCCCACACCACCAGACTAACAGTTTCATCCAGCAGGCTGTTAGGATGCTGAACTCTCTTCTCTCTCTATCCACCAGGTGCACAGGAAGCAGGAATCTGCGTCTCCGCGAAGAACATGTGGACTTTTACATTTATTATTGGAGTGAGAAACATAATTTCAAAAATCTTCATATGTTTCCTATAAGAATTGACAATAAACTTTTTTTGCATTTGAATTTGAATAGAACCAGATTTTGTTAATACTACACTGAAGTCTTGTCTGGAGCTTCCTTTAAAGGTTCTTCATTATATATTTAAAGGTGAATTGTGTAAATTTTTGGTTGGGGGTCCGTCACCTGCTTGTTTCTATGGATATGTTATTGCTCTGCCTGGAAAGTTCCACAGTATGACTTTAAACAGCTCTACTTTACATTTATTCAATTACAGGTAGTTTTATAGCTCAGATATACCTAAAAAAAAAAAAAAAAAGACATTCTGACTGTGCGTGTGGCCAACTGCACAGATCTGACCTGTAACTTTTGGTCTGGTTTGGTCTCCATGAAGAAAGAAACATTTAAAGCCATACTGTGAAACCTTCCAGACAAAGCAAGAACATCTCCATGGACGGACCCTCCACCAGAAAATTGAAACAATGCACCTTTAAGAGTCTATTTGGCATAAGATAAGACCTTTAAACATGTGTGAATAAAACAAAACACAACTCCAGGTATGTTTGTGATGAGGAAACTTTTTGTTTTTTCACTTTCTTTTGTGTGCACAGTTCTCAGAGACGTCCGAACTGACCCAAGCGGGTGAACCGGAGAATCTGGCAGCGGTAGTGGACACAATGGAGCCTGTAGTGGTCAGCAGTTCAAACGCGTCCGAGCCTTAAGTGTTTGTGTTTGTTGATTATGCGGTTTGCGTCAGGGAGCCAGGCATTTCCGAGCGGTGAAATCATCCAGCAGGCACATTTTACGAGAGTTTAACAAGACCGCGCGAATGTAGAAGAGAAGATTTTGTTCCTAGATGAGTCAGAGGTTAAAGAACGATGCCTGTGTGTGCTCCAGCGTTACTGCGTTTAAACGCGAATGCCAGGTCATATTAAAAAGTACTGGTGTGAAGAAAGTATTACAATCACCACTGAACTCGTGTCTTAAGGTCCTATGTTACGCAAAATGGACTATTGTGAGCTTTAAGCCGTGTTATAATGTTGTTACCTCATCAAAACAGACCTGGAGTTGTGTTTTGTTTCATTCACACATGTTAAATATCCCTTTATTATTAGGCTGTCTACATCTCCAAACTCAAAATGCTCTGTTCCAGCTTCTGATGTCATCTAGTGGTAGTTTTCAAGTTAACAGCTCCTTTTTTTTTTTTTTTTTTTGACCATTCTAGGGCTGAAATGATCTAAATGTTTCTAGTGAAGGTGTTTGGAGTTTAAAAACACAATGGAGCTGTACAGGCACAAGGTGGAAGAATTTGGCCTAAATATGCAGGATCTGTGTGTTAAACAATGAATCAATGAATGAAACAAAACACAACTCCGGGTCTGTTCGTGATGAGGAAACAACATTAGAACATAGATCAGAAAATAGTGTAATATAGGCGAGTTTCAGCTGACGTCATTGTTATTAAAAGCCTGCGTTGCATGCTGGGAAATATTTTGGTCGGAGGCAAGAAACACAGTAGCGTCAAACACAGTGCGTAACTGTAATTATCGGATGCACGAATAGAAGCACGGAAGAAGAAAAATGTCTTTTTCGTATTCCGAGTGAAAAGAACCACTAACGGTGAATTAAACGGCTTTCAAACATCCGCAGAGCAAATGTAGAAGATCCTAACAAACCGTGGACTCCAACAAGTTCAACAACACATCGAGACTCTTGGAGGTTTTCATCTTTTCTGCTGTGAATGGCCCAGGAGTTTCCACCAAGTCATTGTGGATATCGCCGAAGTGAATATTTGTCCAGGTAGTTGACGATTCAGACCAAAAATTTGGTTTGTTCCACCTTTTGTCGGGGTTGAAAAGGGTGATTTGGCTCCATCGATGCTTATGACCAATTTCTGGTCAAATGGTCTTGGGTCCTCTGCCGTTAGAGTGGATAAATAACCGGGATCAATACCCTTTACGTGCTTTCTCGCTCCGTCCGTCATGTTGAATTAGTGTTTCTTGCCGCCAACCAAAATAATTCCCAGCATGCAACACACGCTTTTGTCAACAATGAAACTCGCCTATATGTCCTTTAATCTGTAGATAGAGAAGTTAGTCTCATTCTCAGTACATGGACAGAACAGGCCTCATGTGAAAGCTCAGATCCTCCAGAATTCCCTCCCTGAGCTGCAGATGCTGCACTAGCACTGACTCATGTTTGGCTGCAGGTGCTGGGGTCAAGAACTGGGCCATTGAGCGCAATGTTTTTGTAATTAAAAATAAATGAGCATTACAATTGCTGGCAGTAACAGCTGTATTTGATTTGAACACACACCTAGTGACCACACAGGCTTGTCAGGTCTCAGAAGCTCAGCAGGGCCGGGCCTGGTTAGTATCAGGTGCCACAGGGGGGCGCCAGTCACAAATACTGCCATTGTGGCCTTCATCCACATTGCCTAGTGTGAAAGTGCTGTGTGTGTGTGTGTGTGTGTGTGTGTGTGTGAGTGATGGTGGTGGTCGAAGGAGCCAATGGCGCAGACTGGCAGCCTCGCTTCCATCAGTCTGCCCCAGGACAGCTGTGGCTGCAATAGTAGCTTACCATCACTGGGTATGGAGTGAATGAATAATGTTCTGTAAAGAGTCTTTGTGACATATGTGTATGAAAAGTGCTATATAAATAAAAACTTAGTTACTTCCTGAACACAAAGCTTGTATCTGAATATACAGATACAGTTCGGTCATGTTTATCAAATTAAAATTCTTTAACTAGTATCCCAAATATTAGAGATTAGAATGCTTAGAAAATATTCCTTTTATGAATATTATTATGAATTCTATGCATGCAAGTAAAAGAAACCACTGAGGGCTCCTGTGTATTTTGAACATTCACACATCTTTTAATTCCAGTACTCATGATTTTCAAAGCATATGTTTGCATTAAATGACTATGGGTGACTTGCAAATGTGAAAATAAATAAATAAATAAATAACTCGTGTGTAAAGTGGGACATCCTGACTTTTAATCAAGCATCTATTCACCTGGGTCTGGTGTCGTTTCTTAACAATGATTTATTTATTTAATATCAACCACCATCTCCGGATATCAGTTAACAAAAGAAAAAATAATACAAGAAAAAATAATAAGAGAAAGATTCAAAGTTAAATGTGTGCTGTCTCAGTAGAGTGGGTACTGACTTGTCTTTGAAGAAGCGCCGGAACCCAAAAGCCACCAGTTTGAAGACGGATTCCAGGACGAAGATGAGCGTGAAGATGTAGTTACAGATCTTCAGGGCCTCGTCCAGCTCCTGTTTTGACAAAAAAAAAAAAAAAAAAAAAAATCAATCATTATCAGATTTCTGTACTAATCAGATAACTGAAATGTCATCTGAACAGTTCCATCTGATGTGAACAATTTCTGACAGGATTTGATCTGAAGAAATACCACAAAGATAAAAAAAATAAAGAGAAAATGTTAAATAGTGACATCCTTTTTTAAAATAACTTTACTTTGTCTTTCAAATATAACAGTTACTCTAACAGTCCGTCGATTCACTGACACGTCACCAGATGTTTTTCACAATCACATTTCTCCTGGGCATGTAACACACACCTATAATCACATCTATCTATTGGGTTTTCTAATTATTCAAATTATCTGATTTAAACTGATTATGTAACTGTACCAGAGTGTGTATACGTGCGCTCGTGTATCCAGATTATGATAAGGTTTTTCGAGAATCCTGGTTATGTGAGTGTCCATGCAGATGTAGTATCTTGATTTCAGAATCCTGGACGTGCCAGTATTTTGGTTATTGGAAACCAGGATACTCTCACTGGGTTTATCTGATATTGTCCAGGATACTGTGGCCTGTACACGCAGTATCCTGATTTCTCAGAACTGGTGCTGTACTGAGCATGTGCGAACTGTAGTAACAGATACGGGAGGAGTAGATATTTTACCAAGGTCCCTTCTTATTAAGGTCCCATCTTAAACAAAATTTACTCTTGTGAGCTTTAAGTCATGTTATAATGTTGTTACCTCATCAAAACAGATCTGGAGTTGTGTTTTGTTTCATTTACACATGTTTGAGTAACTCTTTATTATTAGTCTGTCTACATCTGCAAAGCTCAAAATGCTCCAGATACAGTAGGAGCAGTTACTTTACCAAAACAACTCAAACTTCTACCAGGGTTGTTTAAGTAATATCACTGTATACTTCTAAACAAAATAAAACACTGTACTATTTAATACAGCCACATTTTAACACCAGGCTCACTTCTGTGTCTGTCTGTGCTGCTCTTGAACTTAACTGATGCGGTCAGACGCTCTTGTATTTTTCAACTGTTAAAAACAACTTTTACTGAAGCTGTGACAGAGCTCCACAGTCTCATGTTCTTACTTAAATGTATGTCTTTTTTGTTGTTAGAAACCTGTTAAAAAGCTTTAAATTAGCAAAGTTGTGGCTGTGGCTATACCAGCTTGTCAAAGCCTGATCCTGTCAGATCTCAGAAGCTCAGCAGGGCTAGACCTGGTTAGTACTCGGATGGGAGACCGCTGGGAATGCCAGGTGCCACAGGTGGGCGCCAGTCACAAAAACTATTGTTGTGTCCTTAGGCAAGACACTTCATCTACATTGCCTAGTATGAAAGTGGTGTGTGTTAGTGATGGTGGTGGTCGAAGGGGCCGATAGCAGATTGGCAGCCCCACTTCCCTCAGTCTGCCCCAGGGCAGCTGTGGCTCCAGTAGTAGCTTACCACCACTGAGTGTGGAGTGACTGAATAATAAAGTGTAAAGCGTTTTGGGTATCTTGGAAGGCACTATATAAATGTAATGATTAATTAATTAGTTAAAAAGTTCCTACATGTTTAGCTCCTTGCCATATCTGTACCATAGTTACCATAGCAACCACTCTAAACTGGTAGTTTTCTGATTTTAAAATGTGATGATATCATACTCCCAGATGGGGAGCAGGGCCAGTTTTCCTTACTGATTACACTGGACTTTGCAATGAAATATCCAAAAGGTAAATTCACAAATGTTGAACCTTTTCAAGTATCACAGTTGTCACTAAACCCTAAAACTCACTATTAATTTTGTATTTTAACTATATTCATTTTAGCTGCCCCCCCATTTATATTAATTATTATTGGCCTATAGCTGTGATGTCACCAGAAACACATGAATTTTGAGTATCCTGGTTTTATCTGAGCGCATGTAAAGGCAAATCCAGAATACTGTCAGGGATACTGAAGCGCATGCAAACACACTCAGTGGACATATGAGGGGCAGCCTGATTGGTCTAACAGGCAGCCACACTTCAAACTCCACCCCAGCAGCTATGCGGTTCTATCAGAAACACCTAGCAGTAATCAAGGCAGTTCTGTGTGGAGTCACATAGTACTTGGAATTGCAATGGCCACTGGGGGCAGCACGCACTCAGGTTTTGTCCGTTCTTGACCATAAAGCTGCACACTCACCTAGTTTGCATAAAAAATGACTAATACTTTGACTTCTCAGTGTTTTTTGTGTAGTTCTGTGTGTGTTTTGAGTGTGGAGAGAGGGGTGGGGTGTTTTTTTGTTTTGTTTTTTCAAACTTTGGAAAAAAAAAAAAAAAGATTAGACACATAAGCCAATGCACCATATACACAGGTTTTTTTTTGTTTGTTTGTTTGTTTGTTTTTGCTGATTCAAGTGTTTCATTACACTTTAAAACATTTGACTCTGAACTGTCCATGGATTACAGAATAAAATGAGGACAGTTGCCATAGTGATTAACAATCATATCTTTTGAATGGTGAGAAAGTCCTCAAAATGTTGCCTAGAACAGGAATTAACTCATGAATGCAGTATAAGAATATTATAAAATAACTTGGGCGGTGATTGGTCGAGAGACAAAGCAAATGAGCTCTGATTGGCTGACGGCAACTGTGAGGAAATACAGCCTTGGAAGTTGATTGGATTGCAGATTTTGCCTGTTTATTTTCACTAGACAAACTTGAGTCTTCCTCCCTGAATTAGTTCTTCCAGTATTAGATCTCCCACGCAGTACTGCTTCCCCTGACCGCCCATGAAATGTCCACTGGAATCCGAGCGTTCCTTCTGGTCGGAGGGGGGCAGCGGTCTGACTTTTATAGCCGTGAGTCCGAAGGGATTTCTATAAACTGTCCCTGAAGCTCACTTATGGACTTTGCTTGGCTAATTTTCAACTAAAGTTCAAATTTAGATCCACAATTTATCATATTGTATAATGACCGATCGAGGGAGCTGGCAAATGTACTTAAATGTCCCAAATTACGCATAATTGAGTTTTGTGAGCTTCAGCCCCTGCAGTTGTGTTTTGTTTCATTCACACATGTTTGAGTAATCCTTTATTATTAGTCTATCTACATCTCCGAAGCTCAAAATGCTCTGTTCCACCTTGTGATGTCATGAAGTGATAGTTTCAAGCAGTACTTACTTTAAGTTAACAGCTACCTTTTAGCTTTTGTTCAGTAGAGGCTGACAATTCCTGGTCTGAAATGATTCACATGACTCTGTGGAGCACCTCCTGTATTACCATGTGACATCACAAGGTGGAACAGAGTGTTTTCTGTCAGAGAGAAGAACGAAATCTGCAGGGTTTGTGTGTTTAAACATGTGTGAATGAAACAAAACACAACTCCAGATCTGTTTGTGATGAGGAAACTACATTAAAACATTGATCAGAAAATAACATAATGTGGGCCCTTTAAAGGTGCACTATGTAACTTTTTTTTGGTGGAGTATGAAATGTTCCATAGTATGGCATTAAACAAAATAAATCTATCTATTCAGTTACAGGAGTTTTTATTGCTCAAATATGCCTTCAAAACCTGGGATTCTCACTGTGAGCGTTGTCATCTCTGCACAGATCTGACCTGTTACTTGGATTTATGGCGTTACCGCTTGTCTCCATGGAGATAGATACATGTACCTGACTTTTACTGTAACATGAAAAACAGAACTGGTTGATTTCGAGCAGTTTGCAGTGGTCCAAAGTTATTCTTCACTTACTTTATGCGTTCTGAGCATGCTCATTATTACTATACTTTTCACAACCAGGCCAGAGTGGACTAATTGCGACAACTAGCATGCTAACTACACAATTCCTGATTAGCGGACAATAAAACGCTTTAAAATTAGATGAAGACAGTACACGGGAGACTTATTTTGACCTCAGAGCTACTTATACAATATATGTGTGATACATAAAAGGAAAAAATATGGTACATGCCCTTTAATGCCAGACTGTAAATCGAGGGGATTTGTGCCAGGCCGTGGGTCCTTTGGTACCGAAAGCGCAACTCCCCCAGAACTAAAACAGGTCTTAAAAAGATCTGAAACAGGGCTAAAACCAGGACTAAAACAGGATTTAGTCAGGATTTAACCATGCACCACGTCTCCTCCCATAGCACCACCCCCTCTGGTCTGCAAAATACTGTCTGATATAAAACCCGTCTGTGGCACCAAAAATGTTGGAGACCACTGCTGTAGAATATTCCAGGTAAAGCGACAACATCTCCATGGACACAAGCAGATAGCAAAGCCTCCACTTTAAAAGTTACATAATGGACCTATAAACAGGACATGCAAACTACTTCTCTGAGCTTTAAGCCCTGACGTTCCATCATGAAAAACATAAATTGGGGTTGAATGAAGTAATATGACATTCAAGCCTGTTTTGTTAATCCTGTTTACGCGATCGTGCTTTAGACATATTTGAATGGTGATTTGATTTTCTGTTTTGAAAAGTGGACAGACAAGGATGATGTTGGGGTGTAGTCCTCACAATCCCCTCAACTAATTATGAAAAATAAAATTCTAATCCAAAGTCAAACTTGTAACCTCTAGAACATAATATTGCTGTCATCATAATGTTCAAAATTTGTGAATGGAGGGGACTGTTGGCAAAATTCAATAAACCATAATACCTTTTCACTGACTACCTGATATCAAATCAAAATGCTAATAGTTTTAAGTCTTTATAACAAAAATCCCCAGTCTTATCAGCATATTAAGAGGTAAATAGTACATCATTTGTGGCAAGCTAGCCAGGAGGTTTGGTGCACAGTAATAAATAAACAATGGTTCAGTTTTGATTAGGATAACATGTAAAGGAATTGTCTACATTTCAGTATTTGTCCAGTAAAACCTAGACAGGCTGGCCATCTAGTGTCTCCGCTCAATTTCATTTCTCTCCAGTGACTAGGTCAGGAATTGGAATACACTAGACGGTTTGCAAGAACCCCAAAAGCACGAGTCCGGGCACCAGCCAATCAGCGAAGAGCTATATATTCTGTGTTGGCAACGATTCCCGAGATCAAGGATTTAAAGCCGGAATAAAGAGAATGTTTTGTGAATTTTATCAAGTGGAAAGACATTATTGCCCTTCTTCTTATGAGATTTGGGAAACACTTAATATACTAGTTAGTCCCGTTAGTGGTGCATTACATACGTCACAACCAAATGGCAGCGATTGGTTAAAATAAAAAAAAGTACCCACCTATTGTCAAGCGAACAAATTCTAATCCTGCGAGGTCAGAGGTCTTCTACGAAGTGAAACTGGCTGATGAATCAGGCTAAGTAAAACCTATAAAGTGTCCTAAATTTTTTTTTTGTCTTTTGTGACATTTTGAGGCCCAAGTTTCTCCCTTGACAATACATTACGTTCCACTTCACCTTTGCTTAAAACCTTAGTATTTAAAAAATGCATTTTTAAAGAGACTTTAAAAGAGACATACAACTGTGATTTTTCCCTCACTGTAACAATGTCTTATTTTGAGCGATCCTCCTCTTGTCTTCACTTTATCGTTACTGGCAGCTTGCTCACTGAACTGTATTTTAAGCCGACCTGGGCCATAAACCTAATGTTCCAAAACCACTTTAGTGCATGCCTTTTAAAGCCAATATTGATGTTTATTTATTAGCCTGACACCTTTAAGGCAAGGTCAGACAGAGTAGCTTTAGTTACAAATCCAGTAGACAAAAGCAACACAACTGATTTTTCTCTCTTCCTTAGTGTTTAAGGTTATTCTGCCCATTATGATTAGTTGAAAAAATATATAACATATTTTAATGAACTATTTCAAAGGCTTGGTTCCACTGGTTTACATCATGGTTCGGTTCACGTGACTTAAATTGTCCAGATTATGCTATTTTGTGTGTCTATGTTAGCACTGAAAAGTTTCAGTAAAATTATTTGGGGTAATTTCAGATGTGGAATTGCCAATCTCTACTGAACTACAGGTAAATGATAGCTGTGAAAACTACCGCTTCATGACACAAGATGGAACAAAGCATTTTGAGCTTCGGAGATATAGACAGACTAAGAAAATTAAACAAAACCACAACTCTAGGTATGTGTTTGAGGAGAGAACAACGATATAACATGAGTACATTTGTGTAATATAGAACCTTTAAATGTCTTAAGTTTTAAAAAGCCTTTGCAACACTTTATATGGGGCTAAAAAGTAATTCTGAAAAAACAGTTATTGCCAGCATAGATTAAAGCGTTAACCAGGTCTAAACCAGGATTTAACCAGATTTCACAGGTTACTTGGACTACATTAGGTCTAAACCAAGACTAAACCACTTATTAACAGGGAAAGACTTCAAATATTATCTAAAAAAAACAAAACACTGCTTTCCATTGTTGGATTAATAAGTGTCTCTTCCTGTTAAAGTCAGTGAAAAACCATAGAAAAGTTTGGTAGAACCAAAATGGCACCAACTGACTCAGTATCCATGCCATATTTGCAATGACTGCTCGTTTTTACCCTTCAAAATTATTTTAATCAGTTTTATTACCCATAGGCTTTATCGGACAGGACTTAATTAAGCGTGAAAAAGGGTGAAAAGTGGAACTCTCAATGCTGAGGCTGGCATAGACCCCGGAATAAGTTTTTAATGAGCATTTTCAATATTTAGATTTAATGTTTGTGTTTTTTTGTACACTGCTTTCTTGACTGACCTTGGGCTGCTGGTAGTGCTCCATGGACATCGTGATCACGTTGAGTCCGATGACGATGGTGATGAACAGGTCCAGGTAGTGACTGGTGCACATCTTGTGGATCAGCAGGCGCGTCGGGGAGTAGTCAGAATAGTACGGCTTGCTCTGAGCTTCTGTGAAAAGTGGGAGGAGCACGGGGGGGAAAGGGGGAGGGGTCAAGGGGGAGGAGGAGGAAGGGCGGGGCGGGGGGCGGTCACAAAAGTGAGATAGGGCGAAAGGATAGCGGGATATTTGCTGGTTAGAATCGATGGCTGCTAGAGGGCGCTGTGGAGGAATTGTGGTTATTTGACAAAAAGAGGTTACAGTGAAAACGTGAACTCAAGCAACATTACACTGGCGCTCACAATGCATCAAATTCATTACATAGTTGAATTTGAAAGCACTGTTTTGACCACATGTCGACTATTCGCATAAAAGGCACGTGTAATGTTGCTTTAATACAAAACGATAAGAGCGAGATTGGGGATGCTGTTTTTGGCAAAGAAAAAGACCTGGCAGATCATTTTTTGAAGTGTATTTGTTTTATATTGAATAGGATTGAAGTAGAAATCACATTACTTGTATGCAGGTATTTGGTAGAAATACAGTTTGCCCTCCAAAAAATTGACACCATTTCGCAGGCCAATAATTTTGTCAGTTCTTGTTGAAATAACCTCAAATTTTCACAGAATGTATAGAAACAGATCAAGACTTTATATCAGTGTTTTATTTTTGTTCTGTTTTCAGGTTGAGCCATGCCGTTCAGTCCCAAAGACAAGTCTTCTAAAACGCTCGCACACATATATAATCCTTTGGCTCTGCATAAGCGGCCTTCCTCTTTAAATTTTTGGTACCAAGTCCAAATTAGTTTGTCAGTTGGTGTTTTTCCAAATGTTGCATTGAAGGCTGCACAGTGTTGGGTGAGTGTGTGCGAGCAGATTCCAAGACACAAAATGACTTCTCTTTGGGAGCAAACGTGAATTATTGGCCTGCGAAATGATGTCAAATATTCTGGGACACCCTATACATTCACAACTTTATAACGAAGTTTGGTGTTCGTACTATTATAGAACATTTTGTAGGTTAAAAAATAAGTTGGTAATTCTCAGTGGTGGACCAAAAAAGCTTTATTTATGTCTACACTATTTTGTTTTTTTTCCCGACCAAAATAATGTAACACTACGTAACTTTCTAGAGGTGGCATGTCATCTGCATGATTCCATGAAAATATATTGGTACAACCATAATTTAAAACATTCTCCATGAAGTTTGAAATGTTTTGTGGCATACTGTGGGAAATTATAACAAAAGGAATAGCATTTCCATGGAAACAAGCAGGAGGAGGCCAAATAAAAGTCAGGTTTGTGAAGATGTACTAATACTAGGACAAAATTTTACAACTAAAGCTGAATTAATCTGTGTCACTTGTATCTTAGCATCCTATAGTTGAGCCTATAGTTGAGCCTATTAAACTCTTCTTCCTCTTCTTTTTTTTTTTTTTTTTTACGTCGAATGTCCCAAACAGTGTTCCGTACCGCATGGCCTAGAAAGCCTATTAATGAACTTCAAAGCTCTTGGATCCACTTGTCTAAATGACTTCCCCTTCTCATAGATCTTCTTAGAGATAAACTAACTTCTCCACCATTGCCTGGAGTCCACTGCCCCTTTTTTCTGCAAATCACCAGCAGCCCCATTCTCTCCTTATCTTTTTTTAAACCGTAGAATCCACAAAAAGAAAAAAAAAAAAGAAAAAGAAAAGCCATACTCATCCATCACTTCGGTTCTTCACCCGTTCCTCCACCCAGTAAGGGCAGAACGGACCTGCTCGGATCTCGGAGGAGGCTACACCTTATCCTATCATCAACCACGGTCCTTTGGGTGCTGTCTCTCGCCCAATTAACCCAACAGTGCAGCTGCGCAGTGCTCGCAAGGTTCCCCCATGGGTTTAGCTTGGTGCGCTACAAGATATAGTAGGCGTATGAATCGGGTTTCCCTTTTTTTGTCACAGAAAAAGTCCGCTCGTAGATCAGAGTGGGAGACAGGCGCAGCTGAGTAAGCAAGAGGAACTTCAGTGGATAAATATAAGGAATAATATATGTTTATGGTTATATATACACCTGCAGATGTAAATAGGGGTAGTCTCTTGTAGCGAACCCGAGCAGGTGCAACATAGAGCTACTGGTGGAAACTGTTGCAAAGTAGAACATCTTGGAAGGTTTTTAGGTCATGGATTTTTCATTATTTTGATGATGAAAGGGATTGAATGTAAGATTTATAAGGATGGGAGATATCATTTCCAGTATCGTAATATCAATATCTGATATCAACTATTTTTTAGAGTGTGTGTTTTGAGCAGACTAATGAGCAGTAGCTGTAGTACTTCTAATGCCTAACCCTATTAAACAATGGCAGTATTCCAAGAAAGAAAAGCAGCGTTTGAACAGCAAGTTTGCATTTACAGTTTCACTTACGACTGGTGCCATGTAGTGCCTCCACTCGATGTCATTTCTCTCCAGCAACTAGGTCAGGAATCAAAATACACTAGACGGTTTGCAGAAACCCTGGAAATGCAAGTTCAGGCACCAGTCAATCAGCGAAGAGACATATATTCAGTGTTGTCAACGATTCCCAAGATCGAGGATTTAAAGTTGGAATGAAGAGAATGTTTGGTGAATTTTATCAAGGGGAAAGGCGTTATTGTCCTTCTTCCTACGGGATTTGGGAAATGCTTAATATACCAGTTAGCCCCGTTAGCGGCGCATTACATACGTGACTACCAAATAGCAGCGATTGGTTAAATGATAAAAAGTACCCAAGTACCGTTGAGCGAACGAATTCAAACACTGGGAGGTCACACGGTTTGTACGAAGTGAAACGAAGTAAAACCAGCGGACGAATCAGGCTAACTCAGGGTCATGGAAAATCCTGGAAAAGTCATGTAAATTGAAAATGTCATTTTCCAGGCCTGGAAAAGTCATGGAATTTTGTCAGTTCAATGAAAGTTTTGGAAAAGTCATGGAATTTTAGTATCTCTTTTACACAACTCCAGCTTTCTGTGAAGTTATCATGAGGTTATTATGATTATTTCCAAACGCCTGTGCTTTTTGTGTAAAGGAGACGACAATAAATGCACTGACAGGATTTTGAATGTTCAAAAACTATAATCCCAAACCATAAGGTCAGTGGAAAGAGTTAAGATTTCATATTTAGCCCTAAAAGTTTGATCAGTTCTACACATGTAGGTGCTGTATTAGTCATGGAAAATTCACTTTAGGTCATGAAAATATAAATTTAAATAAACAAATTTTAATGCATAGTTCATTCATCCCAGAGCTCTATATCTTTCACAAAATAATGTTTTATACTCTGTTTTTAAAGGCTTCTGCAGTGTTAGACTTGTCTTTTAAATCATCTCTCAGGTTGTTCCATATACTAACCCCTGTAACAGAAATACACTCGCTTTTTTTCTTAGTTCTTATCTTCTTTTTTTTTTTTTTTTTTTTTTGAAGATGCCTGTTCTTCTAAGGTTATACTGACACTTTCTCCGCTCAAATAACTCCTATATACAAGGAGGAAGCATAAGATTCTAGGCTTTGTACATCACTACAGTTGTACTCAGCTCAACAAGATCAAAAAAATAAAGTGCTTTTAGCTTAATAAAAAGAGGAGTCACAATGGAAACAGATGATTGCTCTGACTGCAAGTGAAAAGTTAATTAATGAGCTTTACTTCAAATTTTGTGGGATCACTACGGATTTTGAAAGTTTTGAAAATCGTCAAAAATCGGTTACTGATCACAGCAAAAAAACAAAACAAAAAAAAACAGATTAGAGGTAAACCTGTTCAAATCAAATATTACTTTTAACAATTCTCAAGTAAACCTGATTTTTCACTTCGTAATTACAGTGGTCAAGTTGTTGATGATATAATTATCTAATCAGAAAGCAGAATGAACCTCAAATGACTCTCTCATTTGGGTTGCCAGTTTCAATGCTGAAATCCAGTTGGTTTAAACCTAAAATGTCTCTCTCAGATCTGAATGGTCACTATCTAAAACCCAGAACCTGCAGCTGATCAGGGAAGGAATTCTGGAGGTTCTGAGCTTTCACATGAGGCATAGTCTGACAATATAATGAGAAAGAGGCAAACTTGGATGTGTCTCTATCTAGAGGTTAATTTACATTTTTGAGCTTTTCAACTTTTTGGTTGAAGTCTGTCACCTTCTTGTTTCTATGGATATGTCATTGCTCTGAAATGTTCCACAGTGTGACATTAAACACCTCTACCTTACATTTATTCAATTACAGGTGGTTTTATAGCTAAAAAAAAACCCCAAGAAAAACATTCATTCTGGCTGTAAGCAGGGTCGCCTCTCCACAGATCTGACCTGTAACTTGGTCTAGTTTGGTCTCCATGAAGATAGAAAGGTTTAATACCACGATACACTGTGAAACATTACAGACAAAGCAAGAACAACTCCATGAATAAAAGCATTTGACGGACCCTCCCACAGAAAAGTTAACGTATTTTTAAGGCGCACTGTCATTGAATGATCTATTTTCGAACTTTTTTTCACATATAAACCACACCGGACTTAGATAAGTCAGTCAAACTTTATTTAATGCATTCACAATAACTCTCAACTTTGTTCAATTGTAACGTGTAAAAAAAAAACTTTCTGAAAAGCTAAATTGTTAGTGTATTTACGATAATTCATAATAGTTCAAACAGTTGGGTGATTACGGTGTCCAGCACGCCTGCATCCCTCTCGTCATTGATCCGAGTCAGTGTGGTTACTGTTACCTGGCAGTTCAGTGATGATTCTGGTCTTGGTGAAAGCTCGGACCACAGTTGATACTGATCCTTAGCCCAGGCGTCCACGATCCATTGACAGGTCACTCGGCGCTGTCTCCCTGTCTTGGTGAATGTGTGTTCTCCTTCTCTCATCCACTGCTCCCACGCAGCTCGCACTTTCACTTTATAATAGTCTTGAATTTAATGTCGGCGTTGTAAGCGTGTCTCTTGACAGGTGCATTTGGTATGAAAAAGAATCACAGTATGTATTACTCCTGATGCTCCTGACTACGGGAGCCCTAACGCTGCAAGTGTGCGGCTTTGTAGTTTACTAAAGTCG